AACAGTAGAGAAAGATTTTTGCTTGACCAGAATAGATTCCAGGAAATTATTTCAGAAGAGGGCCTATTACAGCCAACTAAACAGCACTTGCATTACAAAATATGGAGGCTGCCATTGCTATCTCTTATTTTGGAAATGACAGTATCCTGGTTTTCATGTGGCTTCAATACTTCGAGTCACTGAACTTAAACAAGTATGGAGTTTGTTAAGTCTGAGTTTTCTCCAGTTATTTTCTGCATGTCAGTTGCAGATCAGCAACTCGCGTTCAGGTGTAACCCATCCAGCTGTCCCATGACAGGTAAATTTAAATGTCTCCACAGTTCGCCGTGCAAGTTTAAGCTTTATCATCAAGAAGAAGCCCTATCTGAACATGATCCAGAAACACCGCCATCTTCTCTGGGTCAAAGCTCAGTTTGAAATGATCTGTTGCAAAATGGAAAACTCTTCTGTGGTCAGACGAATCGAAATTTGATATCCAGGTTTTAGAGCAGCATATGCTCCCATCCAGACAAGGCCTTGCATATTGCAGCAGGACAATGCTAAACCACATACTGCATCTATGACAACAGAATGGTTTTGTAGAAGAGTCCGGGTGCTTAAATAGTCTGCCTGCAGTCCAAACCTTTCACCAATTGAAAATATTTAGCACATCTTCAAGCGAAAAAACAGACAAAGGAGAGCCGGGACTGTTGAGCTGTTAGAATCCTATATCAGGTAAGAATGGGAAAATATTTTCTCTCCCAAAACTTCAGCTACTGGTCTTCTCAGTTCCCAAATGTTTACAGGGTGTTGTTAAAAGAAGAGGGGATGCTACACCGTGATAAACATGGCCCTGTCCCAACTTTTTTGAGACGTGTTGCTGCCATCAATTTACTTTTATTTTTTTCTTAAAATGGTGCATTTTCTCAGTCTAAACATATCTGTTTTCTATTGTGAATAAAATATGGGTTCATGTGTTGCAAATTGTTGCATTCTATTTAATGTAGATTTTACACAGCATCCCAACTTTTTGGGAATTGGGGTTGTAAAAAAAAAAAGAGAAGCAGCACTGTATTAGGCTCTTTCACTCTGCTTTCTTCTTCTATCAATATTGCTTGTGTTGATGATTCCTCTCCCACTCTGAGCTCTGCTGTAAAGAGACTGCAAGAGGCTGATACCAAGTCATATTCAGTTACTTACGCTCATTGCATTTAAAACAATACATTTAATGATGTAATAATAAAGAACTGCATTCATGTGTGCCTTTTTATATCCGTGAACATTACAGATTTAAATAACTAAAGAATACGTGCATGCAGCATATATGGAAGTATCGGGTTTACTAAAGTCATTAGTGAGAAATTTACAAGATTGATATTACTACATACATGTGTTAACATTTGTTTGCACAGAATATAATAGCTATTGCTTTTTTTTGGAGCAGTTAATTGAGCAAACTGGATGAAGAAAGTTTAAGAGCCCTCTATGGACTCTGCATGAACACACTTCTCTTTTCTGAAAAGTGAAGAGGAAGTATTATGTTCATGCATTCAGAGGCATAATAATATACAGTGCACTTGCACTCTGATGGCTTTTAGAAGTGATTGCGAACAGTAGAGATGTCCAGGTCTGGTTTTATGGACCCACACCTGGCCTGACCCATGAACCGTTACATAGTTAGGTTGAAAAAAGACACAAGTTCAAACTATAGAGAAGTATAGAAAAAAAAACCTCCAAAAACCAGAATGCTATGCTCACAGTTACCCACAGTTGTTCCAGAGGAAGGCAAAAAAGCCCTATAAAGCATGGTTCAATTTGCTTCAATAGGAGAAAATAATCCTTCCTGATTCCATAAGGCAATCGGATATACCTCTATACCCTTAACCTAGTTTTCCCTCCCTTAGACTTGTATGGGAGGAAAACAGTTCTGACTAGAGGTGCACCGAAATGGAAATTTCAAAACCGAAATAAAAAATCAGGCCGAAACCAAAAATGTTTTTTATTTTAATTTTTTCTAATTTTTATTTTATAAACTCTAATTTGTTATTCGTTTTTTATTAAACCTTTAAATTTTTTACTTTACTTTTAGGGGCTTCAGACCCATGATATTTCCCTTTTAAAATAGAAAAAGAGATTGAGGACAGAGTCCTCAATCTCTTTTTCTGCAGCCCCTGTTATCAATGAACAGGAATCCTCTATACTGAGTGTTCCTGTTCATTCATAACTTGGAGATAGTATGTTTACTATAACCACAATCATGAATGAACAATGAACAGGAGGTGATGTAGATCACTCCCCATTCATTCATAATTGAGGATATAGTAAACATACCATATCCTCAATTATGTACAAACACTTAGCGATCACGGATCGCTGAGTGATTGCATTAGCTCTCCTCTCTGACACGCTGTCACAGGAGGCTGGGTGGTGCAGGGAGGAGAGCTCAGCCTCCTGTGACAGCGCGGGCTGTCTCCGTCCACACGTGGTTCTGCTGGACTGTCGTAGGAGGCTGAGCGATGTGGGAGGAGAGACGCCGGCCGCTCACAGCTCTCTCCTCCCGCAGCGCTCGGCCGTCTGTCACAGTTTCTCTCCTCCCGCAGCGCTCGGCCGTCTGTCACAGTTTCTCTCCCACAGCTCTGTGTCCCAGCGGGGAGGAAAGAAAGCAGGGATGCGCTGCTGTATCGGCAGAAAAATTGCACTTACGGCATTTAGCCAAAAGTGCCATTTTCATCCGATATGTTCGGCAGCTGATATATCGGTACATCCCTAGTTCTGACATGATGAAAAACCTATCAAACAGGCCCCAGTTGTGTACTCCTGATACGTGCAGGAGTTACATTGTCTACGGCATTGGTTTTATTCTTACAAATCCAAGTCTCTTCTCTTCCAAAACATTTTTTTAAACTTTTTTCTTTTAACCAAAGTTATGCTTTTATAGGCTGTATAATCTGTGTGCCATCAACAGTAAACTGATATTTTTCTAGGCCTATTAATTGCTATGAAGTCTCCTTTTTTGGTGAATTTTTTTTTTTGTCTTTTATTTTGTGGTTGATTTGAGGTCCGCAATTTTTAGCTGCTGTCCATAGCAAACTTTTTTTTTTCTGCCAGTATTATGTATTATACCTTATTATGAATTTATATATTTTTATTTTATGTTGCTATGATCTTTATTAAAGGTTGTTTTTTGCTGCAAGGCTTCCCGAAAAAACGGGCTTTTGTTTCAGGAGATAGTGTTTTGGGGTTATTGGTTTCTATTCTGTTATATGTTAATTTTTTTTAACGTTTGGATTGCTCAAAGTTGGAGCATTCACTTGGAACTGACCATCTGTTCTCAGAGCTGCCTTTTGTTCACAGCATGCCCATGATTGTTGAAAATAAAGCATAAGTGGAAAAACAGTGTGCACCAGAACCACCTCAAATATCACTCACGGCACCCCCCTATCCCCATAGCAAAAATAACATTTAGGAATACAACGGTTTGACCTTTCATCCATTTTTAAAATTGTCCTGCTGCTGGCTAATTGTACACTGCTGTGTCCTCTGGTATCTTGATTATTGTAGTGAAATACCTGCCTATACTCTGCCTCTAATACAGTTTGGCCGACTCGCCCTCATTAAAAATATTGTGTTGCTGGCCACTTTTACACTGCTGCTTAATGAGAGTTTGATAAAAAAAAAAATTGTCCAGCACCATAACCTTTTGCATTAGCTGTTCTTGCTATCTACTAGCTAATGTCTGCCAGGCAAAGCAAGCCTAGTACCACTTGATGAAAAAAGCTTGTGCCACTGCTATAACAAACATTTTTTTTTATTTTCAAGGCAATAAATACAATTGGGGTGCTGCTGCTGTATGTAAGCCAAGCTAATTGTAAAAGAAAAAAATTATTTCCACTGCCAAATATCAGCTGCCAGATTAGGCTATCGCTCAGGCTGTCTGTGAACATTATACTGCTCTGTAACACCACATACATCTTTTAGGCACCCCAAGATTGTAATTCAAAGACGTTCTGTATTTTCCATATTGCCCTTGAAGCCACATAAAAAGACCCTCTCCCGGCTGTATTTTGTTTGTTTTTTTCATTTTCCATTGACACATGTTTCCATGGCAGTGCCCAGCTTCCCATTGCTTTTTGGTAATAGCTTACCTATTAGTCCTAAAAATGGGCAGAATTTATCAATAGGATTTTCCCCTGTAGACTTCAATGTGATTTGCTGCTAAGTTCAGGTTCTCTGAATTTTAGGCCAATTTCACTGTCCCCCTGACGAATCAAACCTGGGCAGATTTGCTCAATCCTACTAACCCATAACAACCAATCAGACTTCAGCTTGCTGGAGTTGGCTAATGTGATTTCTGGTTGATTATGGGTCACTGCACATTTTCACATCATCATTTCTCTGTGCTAGTTATTAGCTCTGTTATGTGATACTGCTATACGGACTTAAGGGACAGAGTGTGCTATAATCAGAAGCACTCTTCTCATTGGTGGCATGACGATGTGAAAATTTCGAGGCACCCCTGAGGAAGCCAAAGGGCACCTCATGGTGCCACGGCACCCTGGTTGAGTCTGGCTGGTCTAGAGTAATACTCCAAATCAAGTAAAGATAACTATGAAGTCAAATTTTAAAAAATTATGTAGGTGAATCTGCAAATTTTTTATTTAAAACATAGATTCAGATTCTTGCATAAACCTGTTACTGTTTCAGACTGCTTTCATTGAGACTTTCATTGAATCTAAGGTTTAAGTTTGTAGAGCTACCGATAATAAATAAGCTGCAGTATAATAGTGTGCCAGCTTTTTAACAATTGCAATCCTGTGAGCATAAATCAAGTATTAATCATTGAACAGCCTAGGAGGAGGACTGATTATTTCACTTACTCTAAACTCTTCAAACTTCAGTATGCTGCTATGGTATTTTCATAGTCAGAGTAGTGAATCAGCTCTGCCCTGTTCACACCTACTTATGTAGAAACATTTTTCTGTTTGGTACACTGGTGATCAGAGCTTCAGTCTGTAAGCTGTGAAGGAACTTGTCACACTTGGGATTGCTTTACTGAAACTATAACTACTTGTGATTTACAATGGCGGAGCCTTTCATAAGGCATATTCAGCTCCTTGGCTTTGAGAAAAGATTCTTTCCCAGCCAGCACTATGTAAGTAAACAGTACAGATATATGTATTTATTTTCAATTTAACAATTGTAACAAAGATTTCTAAATATACTTCACTGCTAGCTTGTCATCCATGTGTGCTATTGTTTGGTGGTAGAATAAAGAGTCAAATGTTGGCAACTAAAGGGTACATTTTTAGGCACTGAATGTGACATTTACCAAACATTCACTGCAGGTCAATAAATAATTAAAACCACATAACCCAGGAAGATTCCCCTGCACTGAATGTTTGTTGAATGTCATATTTACTGATTGATATACTGATGTAAAGTGCTGCATACATTTTCGGCGCTATATAAATACCTGCAATAAATATAAATAAATATTCAGTATAAAATTAGACAAGTGAGGAATCGGCATTTGACCAGATTTTAATATCTGGATTCCAGTAGCATATCTGGCATTCATTAAATTAATTACATAATAAAACTTGCACTTTTGATGAACTATAAGCTACCTTAGTTTCCAGATGGGAGAACAAATTGTATCTTGTCTCTTGTTAAGCAATGTTTATTATGACTAAATTGCACTAGTTTAACAATATTGGAATCCCACCCATCCCATTCAGCTTTCCATAAGTAAAAGGCATCAACCCTTTGGTGCGCAGCAGTTGTCATTTCTGCCTGGAAGCTGTCAATGTCAAAGTATGGTGCATTGTTAGCTCATGGGAAAGGAAGGGGGGGGGGGGCACTTTGGCATCTTCACCTTGGGTGCTAGAGGACCTTGTCCCAGAAATAGGAGCCCCTGAACCTGGGTGCTCTGTACCCAATTACAGTCTTCTGCTCTGAAGCCATACTCTGACATACCCCCGTGCCTTCCAGAGCAAAGGAGAGGAATACAGTTGGAAATTATCACTGGTTCAAGACTTAAAGTATAACTAAAGGCAAAGCTTTTTTCATTTTTATATATAGATAGAGCGGTTATGGGTTAAAACCACTGCTGCATTTTTAGTGCTCTGTGTCCCTGCTCGTTTACTCTCTCTAATAGTCCTGATCAATAATGTCACTGGGAATGATTGTCTGGCCAAATCTAAAATTTTGAGTTGCCACCAGAACAGGATAGAAGGGAATTCTTCGAAATTGGAACAATTGTTCCGGCTGACATCTGTCTAAGAATAGATTTCCTCTACATTGAATAGATATCTTCTCATATCCTGTTGATTATACAGGATAGAAGATGTGAAGGGAAATTTCTCTAATGAGATGCAGATACCCAAAAAAAAACTGACAGCGGTTTTAAACTTCCCCTACTCTATCCAAATTAAATGAAAAAATACTTTATATATGTCCCTGTAATAACATCCTGGGGACAGGTGTACATGCTGCTCACACTGTGTCATTAAGGCTGGGTTCACACCATTTTGCGGACCAGATCTGGAACATAGTGCATTTTTACAGTGATTTTGCCATGATTGGAATTATTTTTTCTTTTTAGCTTAAAATGGTCTTACAGGTGTGTTCCAGACCAGAGAAAATAGGACAAGTGGTATTTTTCTGGTCTGGTCTGGAACAGACTGCTCTGGTGGGAACAGAGGCCAAAAATAGCATAGGGATATATTGGGATGTATTTTGGGTCTGGAAACAGTCTGGACTGGTCTGGAGGTAATCTGGATGTGGTGGGAATGGGCCCTTAAGGTCTCTGTCCACGGACTTTTGTTCACTTCCAACGAGTTTTGCATTCCCATACAAGTCTATGGTAATGCAAAACCTGTCTTTTAGTGGGGTTAATTCCGAGTAAGAAAGAGGTCAACTGCAGGTCAAATGCACCTGTAAATAAATTCTGAATGATATCTGAAGCCTCCACCTGACATTGACACAGAAACTATATTAGTCTCTCAGTACATTGTGCTAATTAGAACTGATATACAATTGTATTATTACTTTATACAAGTCTACAAAGTGTTCATCATAGTGTACAGGTGTCACTACTATCATTACCTTTTCTTTTCTATCAGGTATACATGTTCATGGTAAAATGGCAAGATCTTACAGAAAAAGTTGTGTACAGAAAGTATACAGAAATATATGAGTTTCATGTGAGTATATTTTATTGTTCACATTTGCTTATTTTCCTATCTATCTATCTATGGCCTTTTATTCTATGGCAGGTCCATACACAATCAACAAGGGGCGAAGTTCTGCGCCAAAAAATCCACGGGTGTTTGTGTATAGCCACACCTAGCAGTCTGTATGGATCAAGGGTTGCTCATCCATCTCTGTATGCATGTAACTGCTAGGACTTTCATAAAGCCACAGTGTCTATCAGCCTATCATTGATTTGTACAGGCTGCTGGCGGCAGGTGTACACAGACACCTGTGACTCCTGGGTGCAGAAATACGCCCCTTCTGGACTGTGTATGGCCCTCTGCCACTGTGTGAAAGAGACCTAGTAAAGAAACATGTACGAATGGAACATGTACGCTACCATTGCTGACCTTTTGATTCTCAAAGAACTCATTATCAGGGTAGCCTACATTTCACTAAACACAGCTGTAGCTGTATTCTAACCATTCAGAAATTACCTTGACTTTTACAGGAATTTATCAGCTTATGTTTCAATACTCATTACAATGTTTGTACAGAGATAAACTGGTAAGAGGAAGTAGAACACGTGTGTACTCCTGCATGAAATCTTAAAACCGGGCCACAGCTAAGATTAGAGAAATCTGATTACTGTAATTATAAACAGGGGCGTATTTACCGCGAGGCAAACAAGGCGTTTGCCTGGAGCGGCACTTTGCAGGGGAGCGGCATGTTTCGCCCCCCTGCAAAGAGGAAAGCTGGGGGCGAACAAGGCGCCGGGCGCACAAGATCAAGCAGCGTCGGCTGCCTTAAAAGGTGGCTGCTAACGGGGCCTGGCAGTTAGCTGGCGGGTGTATGAGGAGCCGGGGCCGAGGGAGAAGCGGCCCGGCCGTCGGAGGCTGCGGTGCCGCTCCAAGAAGATTCGGCGGCTGCAGAAAGACGCGGACCTGGGCCGGTGTAGGCTGCAGATGGGATGGCGGCTCAGTGCAGTCAATCATGTGCCTGCACTCAGCTCACACACAGCACGCAAAGCTCCGTGCCGGACAGCTTTGCTTCGCTCTGCACGGCTTTGCGTGCAGTGTGTCACGGCCTTCAGAGTTGGCCCATAAACATCCGTACGGGTGCGGGTGTCCATGCTCGGACGCAGATAGGATCCATCCTGTCTGTGTACGAGTACGGACATCCACACGGACGTGCAGTTCAGGTGAGCGTACAGCTGCGTCCTCCCATAGAGAAGAACAGGCTGCTGCGTACAAATCACACGCAGCACCTGTCCTTCCCGGGAACGGCCCGATACGGCCGTGCACGTCCCACAGATCTGTACGGGCCGACTCTTAGCAGTGTGAATGAGGCCTAATAGCGCAATCTGTCAGACGCTGTATCCTGCGACTTGAAAGAATACGCAAAATGTCTTGTTAGATGGGGGGGTGCCAAGTTTCGTTTTGCCTAGGGCAGCACGAAACCTAAATACACCACTGATTATAAAAGCAATTTATGTTTTAGCGGTGGGAACACACAAAATAAATGTAAACATAAAAGAGTACACACAATCTGTATTCTAAAAATATAGGACAAAAACTGTCTAAAGAAAGAAGTGGTAAGAACAAATTAGGGCTAATAGGGGGTTTACAAGGGGTTTATTAAAGGATAGATTTGAAAGAATTAAAAAAAAAAAAAAAACAGACACGGCAAGAGTGTGTAGGGGGGTGGTAAAGTAGAATGTACTTGATATACCATGTGGGCTCAAATGAAGTCCCTGGTCCTAAAGTGGTCCAGTTATCATCTGAAAACACACGCAGTCCCTCTTTCAGGTAATGCAAAGAGCAGAAATCATCTCTTAACTGACTCAACTATGGTACAGTGAAATCTACAGTACTATTTGTTACTGCTCTTGGTAGATCACACCACACACACACAAAAAAGCCTGATGCATTGAGAGCAAAGGTTTAAATTCAAATTTTTTTTATTGTATGCAAGGACAATTTCATACATACATTTTATACGTGCCTTGTAGTTTTCAGTGCACTATCACTGGCGCTTGGCATGCAGTACAAGTTGCTAATGCTTTACTGAAGACAACAAACAGCACACCTCTCTATACCTATGTGGAAACCATCTTCAAAATAGTCAGTGTGATCTCCCAACTGAACATGCTGAGTACTGAATACAGCAAAGCCACCCAGGCATATGTAAAAATTCCCATGGGTATGTCTTATAAAATCTCTGAAACACACATGGCCCACGTTTTTTTGTTTTTTTTTAATAGGTTTTGTTCTGAATGTCAGACAGGTGCATTGGTGATCGCTGGCAATGCTTGTTCAGTTTTTGCATTTTCAGTGATTTTGAGTTCTGTAATTTTCCTGACCTAACATATTCTAATGAATTGGGCACATATACATCTTGTACAATGTTGTTATACACCAAATTAAAAGTTTGCAGGTCAGCTGTAATTAACAAGGATTTTATCTCAATATTCTAATATTACCCTCTCCTAAATATTCTGGAATGCTGACATAATTGTATAATACAGTAATACCTTGGTTTACAAGTAACTTGGTTTGAGAGCGTTTTGCAAGACAAGCAAACATTTCTGAAAAATGTTGCCTTGATATACAAGCAAATGTCTTGCAATAAGAGCAAAATTTTGTAGAAAAGCGCCACCCGAATAAGGCTGTAGCAGTGCGAGCGATGAATCTGTTCAACGACAACACAATGTCACATTGGATAGATTCCTTGTTAAGGTTTCACAAAATGAAAAAGATTCCATTGAGTCAAGAGGTAGCAGTGATTCCGTTAGTGACAGTGAAAGTCGTCCTACACAATAATCCTCCTCTCTCTTGTCCCTCTCACACCAGCCACCAGCCACGAAGGTACCTGTAATTGGTTTATTTTTCTTTATATTTTATACAGTATTATATTACAGTACAGTATTGTAATCATTTTATATGAATATTTTTGGGTTGTGGAACGAATCATCTGAATTTCCATTATTTCCTATGGGGAAATTCGCTTTGATATACAAGCGCTTTGGATTACAAGCATGCTTCCGGAACGAATTATGGTGGTAAACCAAGGTATTACTGTACTATAAATACAACCCCAATTCCATAAAAGTTGGGACACTGTGTAAAATCTACATAAAAACAGAATGCAATGATATTTACAAATCTTATAAAACCGTATTTTATTCACAGTAGAAAATAGAAAATGTACCATTTTAAGAAAAAAATAAAGTAATTTTGAAATTGATGGCAGCAACATGTCTCAAAAAGTTGTGACAGGGCAACAAAAAGCTGGCAAAGTAAGCGGTACTAACAAGGAAGAGCTGGAAGAACATTTTGCAACTAATTAGGTTAGTTTGGCAACAGGTCCGTAACATGAATGAGTATAAAAAGTGCATCTTAGAGACTCAGAGTGTTACAAGGTCTCAGGTGTGAATGGGGAGCAGATGTGTTAAATTTGGTGTTATCTCCAAACTGTAATTCATCCCAAAGGTGGTCTCTCGGTTTGGGTTTCAAGTTCCTCCACCCCAAACTCGCTCATCCATGTCTTTATGGACCTTGCTTTGTGCACTGGTGCGCAGTCATATTGGAACAGGAAGGGGCCATCCCCAAACTGTTCCCACAAAGTTGGGAGCATGAAATTGTCCAAAATGTCTCGGTATGCTGATGCCTTAAGAGTTCCCTTCACTGGAACTAAGGGGACAAGCCCAACCCCTGAAATACAACCCCACACCATAATACCCCCTCCACCAAACTTTACACTTGGCACAATGCGGTCAGACAAGTACCACTCTCCTAGCAACCACCAAACCTAGACACGTCTATCGGATTGCAAGACAAAGAAGCTTGATTCATCTCCCCAGAGAACACGTCTCCACTTCTCTAGAGTCCAGTGGTGGTGTGCTTTACACCACTGCATCTGACACTTTGCATTGCACTTGGTGATGTAAGGCTTGGATGCAGCTCCTCGGCCATGGAAATTCATTCCATGAAGCTCTCTATACACTGTTGTTGTGCCAATCTAAAGGCCACACAAAGTTTGGAGGCCTGTAGCTATTGACTCTGCAGACAGTTGGCGAAACTTCTGTGCGCTGACCCCGCTCTGTCATTTTACGTGGCCTACCCATTTCATGGCTGAGTTGCTGTTGTTCCCAGTTGCTTCCACTTTGTTATAATACCACTAACAGCTGACCGTGGAATATTTAGTAGCAAGGAAATTTCACGGAACACCTGAATCCAATTATTTGGAGGGGTGTCCCAATACTTTTGGCAATATAGTATATTTACAGGGTGATGTTAAAAGAAGAGAGGATGCTACACCGTGGTAAACATGGCCCTGTCCCAACTTTTTTGAGACCTATTGCTGCCATCAATTTCAGAAATACCTTTTTTTTTTCCTAAAATGCTACATTACTCAGTTTAAACATTTGATACGTTTTCTGTTTATCAGATAGAAACGCATCCAGAAGCGCTGGTGTATAGTGCATATATAGCCTAACATTCTAAAACTATTTATTTGCAACTGCATACAGGTGTTACAGGCTTTGGTTGTTGGTAAATTGAAAGGTAATTGTATAATCAGATTCTAATGTGTGGTCATCTCATAAATACAATAGGCTGGCAACCAATAGTACACAGCCTGCTTAACCCCAGAAGATCAGTGAAGCAAGGGTGTCAGTAAAAGCCACAAAATGTCTGGCAAAACACAACAAAATAAAATAAGATCATAGACTCCAGCAGGGGAAACCCCCATTGGGTGATTAAGTAGGGTATACACATATATTTTCTTCATTCTACCTGAGAGCTGAAACTAAGAAAATTTAACAGATTCCTTCATCCACACTGAACAGAATGGTTGGTCACCAACACAGTGAATTTCATCCGATTCCTGCTGAATTTGCTCTGTGTGTACCCAGCTTAAAGAGCAAATAAAATATGAAAGAGGTTCTCAGTCTTCCTCACTGTACTTAATTTGTTTTGCCCATTTTCTTTTCAGTCTGGTAGACATAAAAAAGGAAGTGATGCAAATTATCCACAAGGGGACACAAAAAGCAATATTAACATTAAAGAGTAGAAACATGTAACCACTCTATCCAAAACAAAAAAAAGTCATTATTTTGACTAGAGTCAGATTTTAAAGCAATGATATAGTCTTGTTCTTATGGTGCTGGTTTATTCTTATTACCTTTACATGATTTATTTCTAGAAAGCACTTAAAGAAATGTTTCCCATTGAGTCTGGAGAAATTCGCAAAGAACACAGAACTATACCTCATCTGCCAGGTAAGCATTTTATAAGAATGCAGATAGTTCCTATATTAAATATACAGTTCTGTTAAATTGAGGAACATGAGTTTCTACAAATTGGAGCCAACTAATGCTACTCCTGGGTAGCAGCTTTACTTTCATTCATGGTCTTGGAAAAACTGTTTGGACAGGCTGATCTACTCCAGTCTCTTATTTCAAAGCAGTAACAATGTTGTACTGCATCTGAAAGGGTATACTGAATCTAATGATTTTTAGATAGATTTTCATATAATAAATGATTATATCAATCACAAAGTATTCTTCAATTAATGGTTACACAGAAAGTCATTTTTACGAGAATTTATTTTCTTATACCGATAAACAGAGATAACTTCACAAATATTATCCAGAGTATAGAATATAGTACATCTGCACCATAAGGCCAAACCATTGCTTTATGCTGCAAGCAGGAAAAGGTGAATAAGTAAATGGATTCTACATTTGTCATGCTCTATAAATATAAAATGACAGCACCGGAAAATACTAAGAATAATTTCACAATTAGTTAGAGTATGTAAAGCCAAATCTTTGATAGAGTAGGGAATGTGTCACAATGTGTCCAGTTGCCATTACTTATTTTTTACAGATAGAGTAAGGAATGGTTATTTTTTGCTGGCTCTGCTTAGCTTGAGAGATTTTCTTTCACTCCTAGTTGTTGGGAAGCAACAGGAAATCTCTCCAAATTGAACAGAATTCCCATATTCAGTTGTCACATGAACAGGTGTCCTCAGATACATTTTTCTCACTTTTTGCCTTGATGAAAGCTGCAAATTTGGGGATTTTTGCCTCACCTTCTCCAGTGGTGACGGTGGTCAACAGGTGAAATAGAGAGAGTGAATCTCACCAAAAAGGAAAACTTCGTAGAGGGTCTAACCCTTCTCCGCCCTATCCCAAAAAAAAAAGTCTTGCCTTTACATACACTTTAACTATATTAACGATAAACGGCTATCTAGTCAAAACATATTTTTTGTTTTATAACTACATTTTAAAAGAGTATACAATTGTGCTGATGTCATAGAATGTATATAAAAATGTGTGAGCGAACATGACAATCACACTCAGAGCTACTCTATATGTTGCAAAGCACACATGTATAATAAAACAGATTTAATTGTGCAACATACATGTGGCAAATAATAATTTCTTATTCATTCATTGGAGGACACAGCTTTGCTTTAGGTCATCGCCTACTAGGTATAGTGTTACAATTAGGAGTAGCTAATGATCTAAAGCTGAGCTGTGTCCTCTAGTGCGGTGTTTCTCAACCTTTTTTCAGTCACAGCGCCCTTTTGAAAGTTTGCAAAATCTCAAGGCATCCCATTCTAAAATGTAAAACAACATTTTAAAAAATATAAGAAACAATGTGTGGTCCTTCAAAGCTTTATATCAGGCCCTTATCTGAGATGGGGGACTGGTATGGATTTTAAGGGGGCACCCCACACAAAAACACAAACAAAAGTGGAGTTTCCTCACTTCATCAGTGTCCCCCTTCACATTAGGAACCCCCTTCACATCAGAGCCTCCCTTTCACATCAGAGTCCCCCTTTACATCAGGAGCCACCATTGTTGAAAAAGGTTGCTCCAATTAACACAGAGAAAAGGATTTTACGTGGAGTACAGAAAATCCTATTTTTATCAGTAGGCCGGTGTTTTTTCACCCCATTTTGCTAATATCAAATAATAAACAGAATAACTGTACTCTTTTTGCAGAGAGGAAACATATTATGCAATGCTTTACAGAGCGTGTAAAATCATTCAAGTTCCTTACCCCCAAAGTAGCTCACACTCTATTCATATCAAACTTGGGCCAATTGATCTACCATTATTGTTTTGAAAGAAAACTAACATGGGTTTCCCTTCATAAACTGTAACCTCTTCCTAATATTGTAAAGCATTGCGCAAACTGTTTAGATCCTGTATAATAATAAACACGTTCTGGGAGGAACAAAATCCCTACAGGCCGCATCCTTCGGGGACATAAACCTCAAGACTTAGAGCTGTAAGGCACGCATGGTTGCCACTTAGCCACCATGCTGTATAAATAACAAAAGTCTAAAAACAACAAAATTATTAAGTGTCTAGAACTCTTAAGAGCCATCAGTAGACCTTGACAAAGCTATCAAAATGAATTTGAAGTCATTATGAAACTTTTATATTTTTGGGGGGACTATATTTGTGCAGTTTTTAAATACTGAAGCATAGAAAAGAGAACTGAAACAGGTCAGTTAAGCCACCTGTATTTTCCTTTCTCCTTCTCAGTTCTTATTGTGAAAGATCAGCTAAGAGAGTGTTTATATTGTAGTTAGTTTAAAGGGCAGTAATTACACTCCACAAGCAAGGAAAAATAGGCAGCTGCTGAAACTAGCCAAACAACATTTTCATATTGTAGACTGTGCAGAAGTACCGTGTGTATTCCCACATGCTGCATTGTGTGTATGATGATGCTCTAAATGTTTACTGCTTAACACATTAGGTTTATCCTTTGACATGCAGTAGCATAACCCGTTGTCAAACATCCCACCAAATATGTAGGTTGTCATTTTTCTGAAATTGCTAGATCCCTGCCTCCAATACTTACAATGACCCAGAGCAAGCAAGCAATAGCTGAAGTCAGACCTCCCATTCTGCATACTTGTTTAAGGTCAGTGACTCAAAAAGTACTGAAGCCACTGGGCCAGCATGGCAACTGGCAATCGCAGAACAGCTCAGCAATGCCATCCTACACAGTCCTCTCAGTTAAAAAGGGGCTCCAGTTATTTTTTTACTTTTTGTGCGCCCCCCCCCCCACCCCCCCACCTGTTTAAAAAGAAATGTGGCAAAGCTGTACTTACCCCCTCATTCACATCATTCTGCTCATTTCCTGTGAGTATTGCCTGTCATTGAACGAAAGATATGTTGTCCGCACACCATTAAGCTTCAGAATATTGTCATTAATTGGCATCCCTTCAGCATAACATGTGAAATGCAACATTTCAGAACCTTGCAGGGTCACTTTGTCAGGCAAAGTGCCCATTCTGAAGTGTGACAGTTGTGCAGACAACATAGCTTTCATTCGATATACTGTGGCACCATTCACCGATTGTTCAGGAACCTTATACATTTTGGGGTAAATCGGTACGGTGTGCGAAGGAGATCTAGATATAAGTTGCCTGTCATTCACACTTCCTCTGTGGGTGTGTGATCACAAAGGTTGGGCTGACAGAACTCAAGGACTGAGCAGAGTTTATAAATCGTTATGTGAGCCCTGATCAATCCAGGGAGAATGCCCGGGGCTGCCAAGAAAGAAGAGGAATCTCTCATAACATCACTGTACCGGCTTGAAGACTGCATGACAATGGTATGTATTGGGTTTTTATTGCTAAAAACCTGTGAGGGCTTCGGGGGAGAGGGGTGGGGCTGGTGCTGGGTTATGAAAGGTGGAGTTCAGCTTTAATGTCTATGTAAACTCAATAATGTTTGTATTATGCCATGATTGGCCAACGCATCATTCCCTTGTTTCAATTTGCATTCCAACTCTTCTTTTGCTCATTGGGTCAATTTTAGCTTTCCTTTAATAGAACTCTAGCATTTTGTTTTGTACTTTAAATTGAACGGTAAGGGTTAGGCGTTCAGTCAGTTTATAATTTTGGTGTCTGTGTGGACATTGGGAATATTTCTCACCAATTCCAGTCCCAGTGACACAACAGGAAGTAAGGAAATATCCTCAATGGGCACAAAGACTGCACATTTTGGAGGGGTTCTAAGCTTTCCCACATCTGGTAAACAAAAGATCTTTATTTCTGTATGTACTCCTGTTGGATTGATTATCCTCACTTCCTGTTCTGGTGACACAGCAGAAAAGATATCAACAAAAAGCTGGCATCGGTTCTAACCTTTTTCCAACCTAAAAGGAAAACAAGGTTTTGACTGGAAGGTATATTTAACCCCAATCACTAAAACCTTTGATAAGGTTTGACCTAGTGATCCTGCAATAAATGTCCTTGTACAGGTACTTCCTGTTATAGGTGACAGCACTCTATGCCTGTCTCCCAATTGTGCGTCTTTGTTGCCGCCCTCCAACATGGGCTTCTAATGAAAACTACAAATGGCTGTTTTAACACACATTACAGAGACATTGCCCAATGTTGTCACCATCAGGAAGCCTACCCTATGCAGTTATTGAGAAATTGTAAGAAATACTCTGTCTAAAAACATGCGTGCGTGAAACGCGTCAAATATCTCAATTCATCTCTTGTGTTATGCTTTTATGAAAGAATAAAGAAAGATGTTGGACATGCAGTAGCTGGTGAGCAGTCATCCACTTTTCCTGTAAAGTGCCATCCAGTCATTGCTGTAGACACAAAGTGGCAGCGAAGAGGGTGCAAGAGACCAGCTATACTGAGATGCAACAAAGGAGGAAAGAGTGGTCAAAAGAAGTATTTTGTAACAAAAAAATGGCAGTTGTTTAAGATACATAGTACTTTAGCAAACTATATTCCATTTATTTTAACCTCCCGGGCGGTATGATTTTTAATTTTTTTCGTGACATTTTTCGTTCTAGGGACGGAAGACGGATGCCGGCGTCGGCCAGAGAACACAGCGCGGCTCGAGGGACAAGATAAGTAAATGCTATGCGGCATTCCCGAGTGTAGCTCGGGGTTACCGCTTATGGTATGGAAAAGTAACCCCGAGCTACACTCGGGAATACCGCCAGGGAGGTTGAATGTTAGTTTCACTTGACCTAAGAAAAATAGTAAACAAAAGTCATAAACCGTTTTTTTTTTTTTAATTAGAAAAATTGTTTTTAAATAATTGTTTTTCAGCGCCAAAATGGTTTGATGGGCTGAGGTCTACAGAGAACAGACAGATCACTCTGGCTGACTACTTCGTGTCTCTACTCAACCTCCCCACTATGATTTCACGTTGTCTTCATCTTCTTAACTTCTTCAAAGTTAGACCTGATGATATAAACCCCACATCGAGCAATAAGTGAGTATGATTCATATTTACCAGTCTATAGTCCGTGTACCCATTCCACTCAGAACCGCTGCTCAATGAGATAAGAAGTGGGTGCAGCAGGTGTCAATGGGGGGCTTCCGTCAAAGTATAAGTAAAAGATGGACAAGACACAAGACAAAACGTAACGTTTTCGGGGTCTCACAGGATCCCCTTCATCACTTGTTTGGCTGATGAAGGGGATCCGGTGAGACCCCGAAACGTTGCGTTGTATCTTGTGTTTTGCATTTGCAACAAGTACGTGCATAAATAGACATACTGGATTTGTTTTGGAGACCCGGTGTCCATCTTTTACTTATATTTACCAGTCTTTCGCAACTTTTTATCCCAGAGGAATCCTTCTAAAAAATAGGAATGCCCCTTACCGTGGTGGTTTAGAATGCCACCCTTACAGAAAACTAAAAACATAATTGGTGCCATGCTGCTGGCTCTGCCAAGTGATGTTGGTCCTGGAACTAAGCAGGCACAATCAGATAGGAGGTCAATCAGCCATAGCTTAAGGAACCCCTAGCAACCTCTGGAGGAACCCTAGTGTTTCACAAAACCCTGGTTGACAATGGCTGATATATGCAATACTATTCTGCTATATACTGCTATTATGCTATTACTACTGTTTTACCAGTACAAGCTTATAGTTTGGAACAACTGTTTTGTATTGCAGGAAACATAATTGATGTTGGTAGCTTGTTTGTGACACATTTATGAGCCATCCTTAGGGTATGTTCACATTCTAGGGTATGCACTGTTACAGTAGGGTGACCATACTATAAATGCATCAACTTTGCACTGCATCTTACAATTTTTATTGGTGTCTGCTAATACTTGTTTTTTTTTTTTGGGTGTTATGTTTTTAATACATTGTTATTTCGTTCAGTGGGCGCAAGCCTGAAACTTTCTTACTGAAGCAAGAAGCCACAAAGAAAAATGTGTCGGGTAAGGAAAATCTGGGGGTGGATTTTGTGTTTGGCTTTCTTTTTTTAACAATAATAAAACCTCACCCTGTGCATGTTATTGAATTTCTATTATATAATGAAAAGTTCTCTTTTCTTGAAATGATAATGGAAAATATCTTAGGGTTCTGTTCTTTTGTATATAAGTATTTATCCTGCACTCTTTTGCTTCTAATATACATAATGGTGCCTTATTGGCAATTGCTGTTCTTGAGAAGTCTAATGGACTTTGCAGCTCCCCTCCAGTCTAGACTCTGCTTCAGCCATACTCAGATTTCCTTTTGCTGCTTGCTTAGTAGCATGTGGGAACTAAAATGCTAATACTCAGTACGAGTGAGGAGTCAGAACATATGACTAACTACGGTATTATATTTTTTTAATAGTAGGTGCTCTTTAATGTGCTATTGCACTAATCTTGTGTTCATATAATTCCTTGTTTTGACTAATGTTCATAAGACGCTCTCTTTTCTTTTGACAGATATAACAGGTCCCATAATTCTCCAGTCCTACCGAGCAATTGCAGACTATGAAAAGAGTTCTAAGACTGAGCTGTCTGTAAAAGCTGAGGATGAGGTTGAAGTAGTAGAGAAGGATGAGAATGGTAACTTGCTTTTTAAGGAAAATGTGTATTTAATTTTTTGAACATTAGTACAACACACAACCCTAGTAACTTAACTCATATATACATACTGGTCACCTGCTGTCAGGGCTTCAATATGCTAATCGAGAATCAAGTCAAAGTGATCATACATGGTAAAATGTAAAGGTAAGTGCACAGTGATAGTACCTAAACTCACCACCAGCACCGTTTTGTGCTGCAACAATATCTATAACACTTCATACCTACAATTTATATAAACAGTAGTCTACTCTTCCTCGGCCTCTCATAGTGTCACGTGCCTTTGAGGAGTCTGAGGTGACGAGGGTGGCCTCTCTCACAACTCTGATCCTGGAAACACCTGGATTGAGGACAGGTGTACTAGGGCATAGAGGAGCAAGAGTGCCAATGGATGATGAACCTGCTGAGTTGTGGAATGCTGTGATGAGCGTAGATCCAGATAGGTACTGGGTGCAGGAGAACGCACAGCAGGATGGATCTTCAATGGTCCCAGGTCAGATGAATTGAAGGAAACAATAAGCAGACAACAAGGCACCAAGATAAAAGGCAGGCAAATCGTCTGAGAGAGGTCGAGGTCATCAACATGCGGACAACGCAGTACAAGGGATGAGGCAGGATCGTAGTCAGGAGCAAGCCAAGGTTCAGGATACAGGAGAAAGCAGAAGATCAAGCCAAGCCGGGTCAATAACGGGTAATCAGATCAGGATTCAAGGAACACAGGTATTCAGGGAAGCTGACAAATCTGACAGCATAGGCGTATTGGTTGGCACAGCCTTTATAGCCCAAAGAGCGCCAAACATTCAACTGGCATGTCGGCGCATGCGGCAATGCACGCTCACGCAAACAAACGTGCACGTCCATACAGAGACGCTGCACCTGGTACAGCTCTATGGGCTACACCAGGCGCATGTGCAAACCACTGAACGTGAACTTTGGCTCTGGCTTTCTGACACATAGTAAGGATAGTTGTTCATCATCCAGCACGCTTACAGCCCCTCTGGAATCCCAGGCACATGTGTTGGGTCTTTTCCATAGAAGAAAATGGCTGACCCCGTATTAAAATCGGCTTATATACGAGACTCATCCATTATTCTCTATGGCCAAACCCAGCGCATGTGCCACAGAGTATCTGTGAGCAGGCAGGGTGTAAACAACTATCTTTACAAATTGTAAATATGAGATTTTATAGAAATTGCATTCTGTGTAAGTAGCAGAATGTCTTTAGCTGGTCCTAATTTCAATGAGAGAAAAAATATATAATCTTGATAATTATACACGAAAAGATGAAGATTGTAATATGGATAATTTTATATAATATATACATATGCAAAACTGAAAATTCAGAAAAAAATACTTCCTAGTATTTCATTTTGCGAATTACAATTACCAGGAGACTACATATCCCTGCACACATTTCTTCCATCTGTATAAACATAGTCTTGTTTATGAAAAGGCCATTCTATGTTATATTTTTTTGTTCCCCAGGATGGTGGTTCTGTCAGATGAAGAACAAACGAGGCTGGGTCCCAGCTGCTTACCTTGAGCCTCTTGACGGTCCAGATGAGTCTGAAGAGCAAGATCCTGACTATGCAGGTGACAAGGAAATAATGTATCATCCTTTATTCCCCAGTATAAAAAACAGAGCAAACATACATAGATAAGTTATCTAACACAATAAATCAGATTCCAAGTTCCTTTCTCTTACTCTAGGTAACAAAGCAATAAAACCTCACTGATTGTTATAAACAGTCACAATATTTAGCCTTTTCCTTTCTCCTAATTTCACAAATTAGCCCTACTGTAGAGTGTTAAGCTGACCATACACTGTTCTATTTTTTCAAGCACCATTCATTTGAATATTTTCCAACCAACTCCTTCAATCTTCTGATGCCATCCAGAGGGATGCTGACACCCACTGTACTAATTTCAGCCGGTTCATGACGAATTTGCATAGTTTATGGCCAGCTTAACAGCATGTGATACATCCATGGGTATTCACAATGTGGGATGTGTACTGATTTGGGTGGGACAATTTATGTGATTTATGTTATGGGTTAAGTTGCTGTTCCATTTGCAGGCTGGTTAGGGATAAATGGTTAGGTTCTAATTCTGTAACATACAGCATGAGCAATGGAGCTTGTGCTCACATAAGAGCAATTCCAGGCAACAAGTGAAAACCAAAAAATGATCTAAGGTACAGCGCTAAAAGCCTTTCTGACATCAATCGAAAAACTATTATAATAAATGTATCTCAATGTTGAGATGATGCATTAACCCAAGGGGATAGATGATATTTCGATCACATCTATATTAGTAATGTGTAACTTAAAAAGTGATAACCCAGTAAAAATGTTTAAATAAATATTCAAGATGTGCGAAAACACTCTACAAGTACACTGTATGCAGACCTAGCGCTGTTCTCACAATAAAGTGCTATGAAAAGTATGTGTAAGTGAAACAGTGTAGCAAATAACCACATAAATCCTAGATAAACAACATGGTATATACAATGTGAAAAAACCAAAGTGATTCTTATTAGATCTCTGGCATCTAGCCAGACAAAACAAAAGGTGAATGTCCTAATAAATCCAACTCCTAGAAAATGGATAAATGAAGGATAAATATATGTATGAAAAAATATTTTAAAAAATATAAATTGATGGAAAAAAAATTCCAGCACAAGGGGCGAAGGGGGTTCTTCACAGTAAGATCAGTTAGGGTCTGGAACTCACTGCCACAGGCGGTGATTTCAGCAAATAATGTGGAATTGTTCAAGAAACTTTTGGACGATTTCTTAAGGGACCGTAATATACAGGGGTACGGGTACTCCTAGAATGAGATCCTAATAGGTTGGACTTGATGGACTAATGTCTTTATTCAACCTCAAATACTATGTAACTATGTAACTATATAAATAAATAAAAAACTTTTTATCGCCAAAAGAAGTCCTGTGATGTCAGTCCATTTCTTTTTTCAAACAGAGATAAAGTACATAAATGCCAAAAAAAGTAATTTTTACTGGGTTATCAATTTTTAAGTTACACATTACTAATATAGATGTGATCGAAATATCATCTATCCCCTTGGGTTAATGCATCATCTCAACATTGAGATACATTTATTATAATAGTTTTTCGATTGATGTCAGAAAGGCTTTTAGCGCTGTACGTTAGATCATTTTAACCCTCAGGGCTTATTGCCCTAGTTCAGCAGCTCTTAGCCCCCCCTTCTTTTTAGCAACCCTTTTTGGGTTATTGTGCTTTTTTATTATCGATATTTTTTTATTATCTTTTTATTTTTCCATTTAGCGCAGGTTCTTCTTTATTATAACAAGTGAAAGCCATCAGAGGCTACCTATATCAGAAAACTAGCTCAGTTCACCATAATCTGATTGCTCTGTCATCCTCTTACATTAACCCTAATGCCGCTCACCAAAAGTGTGTGTGACATGTTTTGCAAGTTTTCTTCCCCCACGTCCATGCATCATCAAGCACATTCACAATTTACAGGCAGGTTTAAAACTAATTGGTGGTTGAAATAAATTTCTTATTAATGAAATTATTTTTTTTTTACAAAAGGCTTTCTGTTTGCATGAGATAACACTACCAAGGTCCCAGCAGTGGGTGTGTTTGAGAATAGCTCTCATGCATCAGAATTGGGGGCTGTCTGATAAGGTAAGGATTAGTGATGGGCTCGGGCGTGTTCGCAGGTCCACGTGCCGAGCCCGCCAGGAAGCTGACAGCGAGCAGCGCCAATCACAGATACTGAGACATGTTCCCGGTCCGCAAATGTCTCAGTGCCTGTGATTGGCTCTACACGCTGTCAGCTTCCTGGCGGGCTCGGCACGTGGAGCTGCGAACACGCCCGAGCCCATCACTAGTAAGGATCAGGCCAGTTAGGCTGTACTTAGAGGGCTGCAGCCATACTTTAAAGAACAACTTGTACCAAAGATACATTTATCTATTTCCACCTTTGCAAAGGTATTTTTCTAAAAAATATGCCAGCAATGTACACCAAGTGTACATGTAGCAGGTATATGCAGTTGCTGTATATGAACACAGAAACCAATAAACCTATGAGTTCAGATTAAAATAAATATAAGTTCTTGTGTAATAATCATTCTTTAACATCACCATTGTTATATCACTAAGTATTAGGTTTACTTTCAAAAAAGCTCTGATTCATATTTATCAGTGAAATTAGCGGTTCCAATTCTAACATTTTGCCTTTTTGTGCACAGGGGAGTTACATATTGCTACAAAAGATTACTCGGGAGAACTACAGGATGAGTTGGACATAAAGAAGGGGGAGACAGTTGAAGTCATCCACAAACTGCTTGATGGATGGTGGGTTGTCAGGTATGAGCTGATAATCAAAAGATGGAACTGCCTTTTAAATTATAACATGTGAATTGTGTAAGGAATGCTTCTATAAATATCTTTTTTTGTTTCAGGAGGGGCAGTGTCACTGGCTATTTCCCTGCAACGTATTTGAAGAAGTCAGGGGAAGCTGTTTCTGGAGATGAAAGCCAAGTAAAGACAAAGGGTTTGCCCCCCCGAAGGTAAAAAAAAAAACAAGACCAGTAGAAATGGAGCTACCTACCTGTATAAAGTGGTATATAAAACGCGTCTTTCAGTAGTTACAGAAGTGAAATTTAACGTCTGTTAAACTATAACTGTCCTGTTAACATAATATTGTCATATATTCTTTATAGTATACATACATCAATAGTATTATATGTTAAACATATGTACATACATACCTTATATAAGGATATGCATTTATGTACATTTATTCATGTAACAATTACAGAAATTATTTACAAAAATACATATTTAGTCAGGATGAAAAAAGACATTGAGTTCAACCTATAGAGAAGAAAAAGAGAAGAAAAACCTAAAACAGAATACTACAGTATGCCCATATCCCCACACCACCAAGCTCACTATATGGTCCATTTATGTTTTTATATTATTATTATACAGGATTTATATAGCACCAACAGTTTGCACAGCACTTTACAATATAAGGAAGACATTACAATCATAATACAAATCACGACAAGATGGTAAGGAGGGCGCTGCCCGTGAGGGCTTACAATCTAAAAGGGAGGGGGATGTGATACATGAGGAGGGAGCTGTGTGGGGATGAATTGTTTGAGAACGTGCTGGTTGAGCTGTTAGGTTGAGGTGGGATAGGCTTCCCTGAAGAGATGAGTCTTTAGGGAATGCCTAAAGGCAGTCAAGGTGGGTGCCAGACGGACAGGTTGGGGTAAAGAGGTCCAGAGTATGAGAGAGACTCTAGAGAAGTCCTGGAGGCGAGCATGGGAGGAGTTGGCAAGGGAGCTGGAAAGCAGGAGGTCTTGGGATGAGCGGAGCCGACGGTTAGGGTGATACTTTGAGACCAGGTTTGAGATATAGCCGGGGGCAGAGTTGTGGATGGCTTTGTAAGCGATTGTAAATATTTTGAATGTTATCCTTTGGGCGAGAGAAAGCCAGTGCAGGGATTGACAGAGGGGGGCTGCAGACACTGAGCGGTTGGTTAGGTGAATGAGTTTGGCAGCTGCATTCATGATAGACTGAAGGGGGGATAGCCTGTGTAGTGGAAGGCCAATGAGGAGGGAGTTGCAATAGTCAAGATGAAAGATAACAAGGGAGTAATTCTGCGGTTTCATTGGTGAGGAAGGGGCGTATTTTGGAGATGTTACGAAGGTGAAGGTGGCAGGATTTGGATAGTGATTGGATGTGGGGAAGAAAGGTGAGGTCCGAGTCAAGGATGACACCTAGGACCTTGGCATGGGAGGAGGGGGGATAGTTGTGTTAACAATCTCAATGGTAAAGTTGGGGGAAGGTGCACGGGTGGGAGGAAATATCAAGAGCTCAGTTTTTTTTGTGGTTTTTTTTTGTGTCATCGGCACAAAGATGGTATTGGAAGCCATGTGAGGGTATTAACTGACCAAGGGAGGAGGTGTAGATAGAGAAGAGAAGGGGTCCAAGTACAGAGCCTTGGGGGACCCCTAGAGGAAGAGAAGGGGAGGAGTTAGATTTGTAGGTGACGCTATAGGATCGCTTAGATAGGTAGGAGGAGAACTATGAGAGAGCAGAATCTTGTAGCCCAAGTGACTGGAGTTTTTTGAAGAGGAGCAGGTGGTCAACAGTGTCAAAAGCAGCAGAAAGATTTAAAAGCAAGAGTAAGGAGTAGTGGCCATTGCTTTTTACTTATTATCAGCGAGGTGGCGACTTAGACGGCTGTAGATGAGGCGCTCTAGGAGTTTGGAGGTTATTGGGAGTAAGGAGATTGGTCTGAGATTTTTGAGGTCGCTAGGGTCCATTTGAGGGTTTTTTTGGGTATTGGGATGACCAGGGCATGCTTCAGAGGGGAGGGAAATTTCAAGTCTAGGATAGAGCAAGAGGGTGACCGAAGCAGTGGTGAGGGAACAGGGTCCAGGGGGGAAGTGGTGAGGTGGGTGTCAGAGAGAAGCTTTGTAACCTCCTCTGTGGTGACAGGGTCAAAAGAGGAAAGTAACAAGTGTGATGGAGGGTCTGGTACAGGAATAGGGGAAGTGATCTGGTGATCTGATCCCCAATTGTATCTATACATTATACATGGTGATTATATCCCAAATTCAGTTCAGATAATCTTTCCTCATAGCTGAGCCTGTCTCTATCTCTAGAGTCTATACCCCTTTTAATACAAGAAAGTATTTTGGTTGCTTTAGAAACTGTGGCTTGACATTACATGCTATTATTCAGTATATGATCTACCAGAACACCCAGATCTTTCTCCATCATTGACTCCCCCAAACATACTCCCCCTGCAGTGTATGAAGGATGCATGTTTTTAGTCCCCATGTGCATAACTTTACATTTATCAACATTTGACCTCATTTGCCAAATAGATGCCCAATCAAACAGTGCATTCAGGTCTGTTTGTAAGTTGGAGACATCCTGTAAGGACTGTGTCAAACGATTTTGCAAAGTCCAAGTATACTATATCCACAGCCATTCCTCTGTCTAATTTATTGCTTACTTCCTCATAAAAAGAAAGTAGGTTTGTTTGACAACTTCTGTCTTTTGTGAATCCGTGCTGACTTTCGCTTATAATATTATTTTCAAACAAAAAACATGTGCTTGTGTTCCTTGATCATATTTCCAAGTATCTTGCCAGCTATGGAAGTTAAGCTTACAGGTCTGTAATTATTTTGATCCCTTTTTTAAATATAGGCACCACATTGGCCTTGCGCCAATCTATCGGGACCAAGCCAGTCATTAGAGCAGGGGTCTCAAACTCAATTCCCTAAGGGGCCATTCGACAAATTTTTTTCTCCCATGGGGGCCGTACCTAAAATGTGGAATATAACATGGGTGCAAAAATTGAAAAAAGGGCCTCAGTCATGAAGGGGTTAATCTGGTGTTTACAAGTGATAGCACCCATTGAAGTTAATGATCAGGTGACAGCAGTTGCATGTAAACTCCTGCACACCACATGTAATGATGTGTGATATTATTACATGCGGTTAGGAATCAATCACTCTTCCTGGACGAGGATTGAGGATACTGTATGGTTACTATATCCTCAATTATGAATGAATGGGAGTGATCTTTATCCACTCGTGTTAATTCATAATTGTGGTTATAGTAAACATACTATATTCTCAAGTTATCAATGAACTGGAACAACACGTGGGTGTAAGCCATCCAGTCCAGGTGCTTTGTTCACCTTCATTTTGTCTGTTTCTGAACCATATCAGTTGTGAGCCATTGTGGTTCATTGGAGGCTGTGGTACCACCATCCCCGTTATGGACTTGAGTTCTATCTTGTTCCTTAGTGCACACAGAGCTGAAGAAAGTATTTAATAAATTTGCCTTCTTCTTGTCCCCGTTACTAACTCTGAGTTATCGTGTAAGAGGTCTGCATGCTCAGACCTTATCTTTTTACTATTAATATATTTAAATATTTTTTCGGGGTCTGTCTTGCACTCTTGTGCAAACTGTGGTTCCTTCTTAAATTTCTGCGATCTTTCACATTACTGTCTGTTCTTCAACCACAGAGGCACAATTTCCAATGCTAACAGTATCCACAAGCAAAAACGTAAAGAAATCAGCCAGGAAGCATACAGGAGAAACAGCAAAAAATATCTGAAAGTACGTCAATCTACAACTGAGGCTATGGAGACTATGATTATCGGTAAGTACTGAAATTTAAAATGAGAAAAACGTTTGATATATGGTCCAATTTTTGGATTTTTTTTTTTTTATAAGTGAGGAATAAGGCAGTTTAAAGAGGCAGTTCAGTAGGAAATATTGAAAAAGGCACCTCTTCCAACTTTTCCTAAATGCTGGTCCATCACAGAAAATGCCCCCTGAATCAAGAGTATGCATAATGTGTTCCCAACACAGTATTGTAAATAAATAGCACTTATTCCTGTTGTCCTAGTTGTATGTTCAAATCAATAACCAATAAGCCTATGGGCTCTATGTACTTCTCTGAGGTAGTTGGCAAAAAAAATTATTTGGTGTACCTACGGGTAGTATATCTATTTTAAAAAGAAAAACCTTTCTGTAGCATTGGGAATAGGAAATATTATTTCATTTTTTCCAGCATGGTAGGGATCGGTATCCTAATGCAATAGCATCTCTAGACTTCTATATGCAGAAGCACTGGGTGTAGACAGCTCACTTGTGACCCACTGGGGGTGATTTACTAACCTAAACACACACACACACCAGGTGTGTGTGATTTTCACACAGCAAAACGTAGTTATCAACCAAAAAGTCTCTAAAAGCATATTTCCACTAATGCCATATATGGAAAAATCATGCACATGATGCATATATAATGCTGCTTCACAGTTTAGACAAAAATGGTTAGCTCATGCATTTACATTCCTTGCATTCATCAACGCAAGCAACACAACATAGAGCTAATTTACCCAACATCACCTTGGAATTCATTCAGGGCTTTGCACAACACACCTGCTGGGTGTGTACACATTACAAAGGTGTTTAGATTCCACCCATAGATCATGCTGGGAGGGAACACACTGCAGAGGTGTATACACGTTCGTGGTGTGTTTATAAGGTTAGTAAATCAACCCCACTGTCTTCAGATGGTAGAGGTTACTCTTCTTCAGATGGAAGAGTAACCTCTTTAAAGGGACACTGTCAAGATAGATTAATAGAGGCTGCCATTATGGAACTCTCCTTTGAGAATGCTAGTTCCCTGTCTGTCATTCTGATGATCTGACTAAAATGCAGTCAGTCACTAACCCAGAACAAACGCAGAGATAAGTAGTTCTTACACTCATTTAAGGCCTGCTTGTTACAGGACTGTGACCAAAACATAATAAAGTTAGACACAGTCAAGCATCTAGCATTTTCAGAAGGAGGCCTGCAATGGCAGCCCTTATGTTTTTGTTTTTTTGGAACAGAGTCACTTTAACAGCCTTCAGTGCAGTATGCTATGTCTTACTACCTGTGATTAAAAATATTAGGCAATATTTTGTGTTCACAGATTTGCTTTCCCCTGCTGTGATTTAGCTATCCATCTTTATGTTGTTATATTCATGCACATAACCCTAAATAGTAAATGGCATTACATGATATTCTCGGGTCCTCATGAGTTATAATTTGAGGCCTATAAGCAGAGTTAGGGACATATGTAGTAACCATCCATATATTCAATGTAAAAAAATTGCATCATATTTCTATGATTGATATTTTATTGCACTTTTTGAGCTAGTTGTAGCAAACCATGTGTGTTTTTTGTTTTATATTCAGATGAAGAAAAAGAGGAAGACAAATCAAAAGCTCAACCTGCTATTCCTCCACGGCCAAGCAAGGAGCTCATTCTGGATCGTTGTTCAGAAAATACAAAAAACAAGATCCGAACAGTGACCTAAAAGGACTTGTTAAATCTTTATTTAATGATGTTTAGATATATTCTTAAGTGAGTTTAGGGAATATCAACACTCTGAGCAGTGTCTTGTTGCTTCCACTGGCCAACAGATTCCTGTTTTATTAAAAGCTATGCCTTTCGAGTATTATGAACTATTCAGGAACATGTTTGTCTCTGCATAGAATCTGGATGTCTAGAAAAATGTCTTCTGTGATGTATTTTGTAATATATTCAAATATATAGATTTTCAGTGCTTCTGTTTCGATTAATGAAAAGAAAAAAAACCCACCTTACTCACACTTAATAACAGTCTCTTATATCTTTAAAACAACCCTAAAAAGTCTTACTTATACCAGATATCACAGTTAATTTTTACAGAATATTATTCAGAGCTCCCATGAACCATAGTCTGTTCCTGCTTATTAAATTAACATTTAAAAAGATGTCACCCATAATCTGTGCTTGTGCCTATTTGGGCTCCCTTCCATCTTCTTTCCTACAGTGCATTCTGGCTCATAGGAGTGAAATCAGGAACTGTAATAGATGACAGTAAGACTTTTAAGAGTTATTTTATTTGAAGTGCTTTATAAGAGATATCATTTTATATTTGGATATCATATTTGTGCTACCATTTTGCTTACCTTTTATCATGACTAATAAGGAAAGAGAACACGTGCTGTGGACAAGAAATATTATTGATGGGAACTCAGGATCCAATAGGAATGTAGGTGGCAAGTGTTGAGGAGAGCATGTTACATCAGTTATTGCTAATTCTAATGGCAAGAGGAACAGCCAAGCTGTTAATGCTGAACTCCGAGTATAGGAAAAGCACAGGAGCTGTGCCACCATTTACAGAAAAGTTGACCATATTTTTTAGCTGCACCATTTTTGTGGTACCCAGTAATTGTCAGTAATGGTCTGGGCCTTTATATCTTGTGTGCTGAGAGCAGCCTCTCCAATCTACAACTGAAGAGCCACCAACCCTAATCCACGAACCCCACTCTCGCAGGTTACGGCTAATCACTAATGGTGCTGCCACGCTATAAGCTTTGTTTGAATCACTGCTATAATGTATTACCAATACTTTTATTTCTGAATGGAAACTAGTGCTCAGGTGGGACTAAAAAGTTATTTAGGAGAGTCTGGAGTTCATCTTTAAGAAAAAATGCTGATTATTAACTTACATGAATAAAGTCTACCTCCTAGGTTTTTCTACTTCTGAATCCAGTTTTGTAAGAATAAGGCATGGTAACATGTCCTAAGACACAGCTGTTTGTGACTTTCAGTGGTGATGTCACCATAATTATAATACAAAAGAAAGACAATGGGAATGTGCAAAACACAGACCCAGATAGTAGAGTGGAGGCACACATTGTGAAACCCACAAGCCTTACTGTGTAGAAAATGACACATTTTCTAACTGCATAAATAGCAAAAGGACTTGTCTAGATGAATATTGATTAATTCTGTTTGAAAACAATTTTAGTGAAATCTGACATGGAAGCATAAATACATCCGGCCTTATTCAAGCACATTCCACAACTCTTAAAATGTGAGGGTTTTTTTAATTTGATGTTTGTGAATGAAATGGGAAAGCTCATGGCAAGTAGGCTGTCATGAAAAGTACACTAACTCACACTCTCTAACCACCCTGATCTAGTGCCAAAATCACGTACACTAGAGTGGCCAGTATTTATTAATTATAAAGAGAAATTATCAAATGACAGTAATCCACAGTAGTTACAAATAACATCCAGCAACAATGTCTTAAAAGAGAACTATGGGCAAACCATTTTTTTGGCCATAATTCTCTTCAGGGTCACAGGAGGACATACTATCTGTCCTCCTAAAAACAAAAATTGTACAAACAGCGCTCTTGGAATGATCTTGGGGAGGTGGATAGTGTGACCCTAACTAGCATGCAGCCCATCGACCCAGGAGGAGTGCCTGTGGATATGAAAACCAGAACGAAAGACAAAAGGGTGCAAAACTAGGTCAGCTGACTGACCGGATCGGACATACCAGGGAAGGTGACAGGGGAATTAATGTATGTATATATGAAAAAACACTTACTTGTGTGGGTCTGGGAACCAGAGGCAAACCGGCCTGTGAGGATGCAAACCGGAGTGTGTATGTGAATGCCGGCTGGTGTGTAGCCAGAGGTTACTCGTCCCAAGGGGAAGAGGGAGACAAGAGAGGAGAGAAGTGGACAGGAGGCAGATGACGGAACGAGGGGTTAGTCCGTCTACCTGACGCTGTAATGGAGGATTTTAGCGGTGTACAGGAGAGAAGTCTGGCTGTGCTACTGTGGTCCCGGCTTTAGATGGTGCGGCTCAGTCTATAAGAGGATCGGAGCTGAGTTATGTACCCGAGCCGTGATAGCGGCAATACCCCCTGCCGGCTCCTTTCTATTGCCGCTATCACGGCCCGGGTACAGTACAGGTGGAAACATGAAAAGGAGTAGGTTAGAAATCGGATAGATGATGGAAGTATGTCAAAAGAAGATAGAGCAAGTAGTAAAGAAAAGGAAAAGCGGGTTAGGTTCATCCCCATCCCCACTCGGTCGGGCTAGGCAAGGGAAGGATCAGGGAATAGGCCTCAGGTATACTTTATGGAGGTGTAGTCTGCAAATAGGAGCTGTATTGGGGTTCACATAAATGCTTTCCAATAGAACCAGATCTGCCAATGTGTATCACGGGTACACTTAGATGAAGATATCAGGTCTTCCATTCGTTCAGTCTCACTGACTTTGTCAAGCCAAGCCTGTAAAGAAGGCACCTGCTCTTGTTCCCACAGATCAGAAAGAAAACAACATATTTTTAATATACATTATATTATTTTTTTTCCATCAATTATAGTTAGGCTTGTACAGCCTTTTTTGAACCTTGCATATTGAATGTACATTTTCTACAGTTTTTTAATGCCTACTCTTTAATTTCATATCCCCGCTATCACAGTAAACATGGCATATTATTTTGTCAGGATTTATCTATTCTTGTTTCTAAGTAAATACTGCTGATGAAATGTACCTTCAGTTCACATTAACTGTTTAGAAATGGATACATTTTGCATCTCAATTGATCCTTTTCATCTACATTACACCACATTGTACATCATGTACAAAAGCTTGTGAAAAGTGAAGAGCAATTCTCTCCACAGTCGTTATGTGCGTTGAAACAGCGCGAAGTGTTTATGACACTATTGATAACTGTGGCCCAATGCCTACCAGATGCAAATGTTACAGAAACCTTATCAGGAAGTAATATGCAGCTTAGAAAACAATAGATAGAAAAAGGGAACAAGTGTCACAATACACCGTACTTGCACAAGTTTCACTTGAAATAATATATACTGTACTTCCTATGTTTCTAAATGCCTCAAAGCTGAAAATACGTGCTAAAACCATAGTAACTGAATATGTAACTGCTTTGCTGTTGCCTAGAAAAAAGGCTAATTGTACCAATAGACATGAGATTGCCCTGTGCAGTTATTTATGGGGATAATCCCCTGTGTAGGTTCTCCTCAGGCCTGTCACTTCCACAGTGGCATAGTGGTTAGCATTTCTGCCTTGCAGCACTGGGAGACTCTGGATCAAATCTCAACCAGGTCATTATCTGCAAGGAGTTTGCATATTCTCCCTGTGCTTGCGTGGGTTTCCGCTGGGTACTCTGGTTTCCCCCCACACTCCTAAGACATGCTGGAAGGTTAATCGACCCAAACTGTAAAATGATGTAAATAAAGTTTGTATATTTTATAAAATGGTATTTTGAATATGGGTATCTTAAAAGTCCTTCTTTCTGAATTTTCTATATTTTCAAGCTGAAGTTTAATCTGCTTATATTTTGTCTTCCCTGTTTCCTCGCTTACACCCTCATCAACATGCCGATGAAATGTTCAACTAAAAATTTTCTATTTTCATTACACACTGCATTTTAGATTGAGTGATCTCATCACACGGTCTCCATGCTGCTCTGTGGAATGCAGGCAGATCATGGCTGATGGGAGGAGACAGCAGGGTTCTGAAAACACTCTCATGCAGGCAGTGGGCTAGATCTTGGGTAGTGTTTTACAAATAGCAATATGTTGATGGGTGAATGTCAGTCAGGAGAAGTGGGCATTCCTTGGCAGACTTTACTTGCATGCAGAATGCCCTACAGCGACACGTGATGTTGAGCCTTTATATCTGAAAGAATGGTAATCCAATGAATAAAAGGGGTGGGTCAGGAACAGTAATGCTAGGGAGGACAGAGGTAGATGGTGCTGGATATTCCCCAACCAGGAAATGAGGCAGGCTCTATCTGACTTGCTGAAGCTTTTAATGCACATTGTGGGAAGCTCACAGTGTGTAGTTAAATAAGGGCAAGCAATTTCAGTTCTGGAGAGGAGTCGGCATAGCTGTGCCTGACTGAAGGCAAGAGTGGTGTTTTACTTTAAGTGAAATTGCTACACCACGATCTATGAAACATAAAGCGATCACAGCTACAATGACAACCAACATAAAAAGCATGTCTTTTATATTATTTTATTTTTAATTTTCACTGTTAATTATAAAACTAAGAATTGTCTAGATAGCAATGATAACTAAGATGACCATGATATATTATTAAATATTCATTGAAGGGCAGGGAAACAGTGGTGTGCCATTTCCACATATGTAAATACTTTGAAGTATTACAATGAACAGAGATCCTGATTAATGGTACCAGGTAGGGATGCAGCGATACCAGTTCAGATACCAATGCAGATACTTGGCATTTTCATGAGAACTACCAGGGTTGCAGCTGGGACCTAGCTCTGCCAGCTCCACCACTGTCCTGAAATCATCCGTTGATATTGTTTTAGAAAAACTGTCACATGACAATAAACAAAAATGTATCAGTACTTGTACTTGGAAAAATGGTATCAGTGCATCCCTTATATATGTTTGAAAGACCAAAATAAGTAATGCATTAAAATGGGGCTGTTCAAATCCCAGGAGCTCCGTGTGCTCCTTAAAAATGACAGCTGCCTCCTAACTTTTGAATTTTTCTCTAGCCAATCTCGGAGCTGGAAAAGTATCTGTACTTGGTATCTGAACATTCCTAGTACCAGGTTTTTGGTGCAAGTGTTTTGTGCTAAAGGCCATGTTCACACTTCTGCATTGCAGTTATTCATTTTGAATGGCACCCCCAATGCACTAAGACATTGCATTGAATTACAAAAAAGGGTTGTGCGATTTTTAGGCAAGTCAGGGTGCCATAGCAGCTCATTTATTTTGAATGGGCTGAGTTAATGTGATGTTAATAATTCATAACTGAAAAATTGCCTGGATGGGAAGGGGGTTTAACACCGCGGATGTCAACTGGTTAAAGGGCTGACAATGCACCACAACACAGCCAAAAGCCGATACAGCACACTATACGTCACCAAAGGGATGTATGGTTCTGTGTTTTATTGTAGAAGTGAATACAGACAATATTACATCTATACATGACTGAGCACTTGGAATGGGAATATCTCATTCTTTTCAATTGAAGATGATGACACCTTGTGGGAATCTTACGTATTACCTGTACTTTTTGCCATAATTTCTTGTGTACTTGAATAATTATCTCCTCTGCAAGATTATGTATTCTGGCAGGTTACCCATATTGCATATGCAACAAATATAAGGACTGGTGTGAAGAATTGGGACGGTTAGCAGGTCATGGGAAAGCAAAACACCAGTTCTTCCTATTAATCATTTAAAATAATTAAGCATGTTTTTATTCCGTACTGAAAGTATTTCTGTTACCTTTACACATAGTTAAAGAATGTTACCAAATAAAAAAATAAAAAAACTTTGCTGCAATACAATTCTCTAATAATAAAAGTGCAGCCATGTTAGATAATTCTCTGCAGAAGAGGACTGGGCTTGGGGGGGGATTATAATATGGACTGCTTTCTGTTTCGATGTCTGATTTTGTGGCTCTGAGATGCCACTTAAATAAAAGATGATGTTGGAAGATGGAAATGTGTTTCCCAATAGACTATATAACGCTGCCACCCACCTCCGTCAGAGGTGTCCATAATGCTGCCTTAGGATGTAGTGGAGATGTTGAGATTTCCAGAGACACCCATTGTTTGTGGGACGTTCCGTGGAACCAGTCCAAGACCCTAGTCAGTAAGGAAGCTTTGTAATAGAGGAGGAGGTCCGGTAGTCCTGCACCTACACGGGCGTTAGGTCTGGTCAGCAGGCGGGAGTTAAGTCTAGGTGGTTTGGTATCTTTCCAGACAAATGTTCGGAAGACATGTAGCAATTTCAGGAAGAAAGGGCGAGGTACATGTATGGGGACTGTTTGGAAAAGGTATAGGAATTTAGGGAGGATATCCATTTTAAGCACGTTCATGCGACCGAACCACGAAAGGGGTCTAGACCTCCATGTCTGAAGATCTGCCCTTGTCCTGGTCAATAGGGGAACATAATTGAGCTCATATAAACGGGACAGGTCAGAGGGCACGCGAATCCCAAGGTATGTAATGGAGGAAGATTGCCAGGAAAATGGGAAGCGAGAGCGTAGGGAAGAAACTATTCTGGTTGGGAGGGAGATATTAAGCATGTCTGATTTATCATAATTCACCTTGAAGTTGCTAACAGAGCCGAAGGAGGAGAGTTCCTCCATAAGATGTGGTAGCGAAAGGCTCGGTTGAGTTAAATATACTAGGAGGTCATCAGCGTATAACGCCACCTTGTATTCTTCAGAGCCTATCGATATCCCATGTATGGAGGGGTTTGAGCGGAGGGCCTCAGCCAGATGTTCCATCGTGATCACGTAGAGTATAGGAGACAATGGACACCCTTGTCGTGTGCCATTTGAGATTTTTATAGGGTCAGAGAGTCTACCATTCGCGCACACACGAGCATATGGAGACTTATATCAGGCCATAATTTTGGAGCTCCAAGCCCCAATTGGGTCAGTGAGGTAAGCAGAGGGAAGATGCGACTCACTCCGCCATGCGCCGGCCACGCCCCCAAAATCTTGGTTGCCCTGGGCACCTGCTCCAGATTTTGTCTGATCCAGTTTTGACGGCATCGTGCCACTTTGTGTGCTACACTTTATGTAGATCTATATGAGGGACCACGAGGCACCATTCTGTTTACTAGGTGATCGGCATTGCATAGTGTTGTACGCTGCATAGCATGACTGCTTGACATCTTGTTTGTGGTCGCATCACCTGTGATGGCGGGTAGGGTGTGTGGTGTGGCTGTGTCATGGCAGGTAAGGGATGAGGCATGGTGGGTAGGGAGTGGGGTGTAGCAAGTAGGGGTACGGGGGCCTCAAGAAAATGTTTTCCCAGGGTCAAATCAATCTTAAAGATGGCCCTGGTTGCAGCCGAAAAGAAAGGAAAACTCCAGGCAGGTAAAAAATAAACCCTTGCAGTGGAGCTACCCCCATACTACACGGGTTAACGGCTTATTTTGGGCTACGGTTTTTGAAAAAATAATAATATATATATATATATATTCAACTGATCCTCAGTCCCTCCTAATATATATATATATATTCAACAGATCCTCAGTCACTCCTGGCTGATAGACCAGTCCCTGCAGCCTCTTCTTCAATGAGCTTTAGCGGTCTAAGGATCTGTGACATCATCACATCTATGCAGTCTATTAGATGTGAAGACACCAAAGGATATTCAACAGCCAAAATGGAGGGGGAGATAGGGGAGCTGTCATCACTGCAGGACCGAGAATCAGATGAGTATATCTTGCTTATTTTAAATTCTAGACCAGGGGTGGGCAACTCCAGCCCTCCAGCTGTTGTGGAACTACAAGTCCCATGAGACATCGCAAGACTGACAGTTACAGGCATGACTCCCAGAGGCATGTTGGGATTTGTAGTTAAAGCACAGCTGGAGGGCCGGAGTTGCCCACCCCTACTCTGAAATAAAAAAGATATACTCTACTGATCCCCAGTCTTGACTGGCTGCTAGACTGGTCCCTGTAGCCTCAGCGGTCTAAGAGCCTGTGACGTCATCATGTCTATAGAGTCTATTAAATGTGAAGATGCCGAAGGACATTCCATAGCCGGAGAGGAGGGAGAGACAACTGATTGTTCATTACCACGAGACCGAAGATCGCGTGTGTGTCTTGTTTCTTTTAGACATTAGACCAAGACGAGCACCTGACCCTTGCAGGGCGGGGGGTAGCCCCACTGCAAGTGTTCATTTTTGTGCTTCCCGGAGTTTCTTACAATTTCTGACATTGTGACTGTTTTTATATATTGTGTATTGTATGTGAGGAAAAGACTGAGAGACTGCATGTGAAGGGGGCTGCAGGAAAAGGAAGACTCAGACCACCAGTCCCTCCCATGATGAAGAATGAAACAGGTTCAGGTAGAGCTTGTGAAAGAGAAATGAGATTTGTCTGTAGGGTGATCTCAGTGACAGGGGTACAAAGATAAACTTGTTTGTTTCTTTAAAATGGGAGTGTGGATTCTAGCTTCTAATAAATAGTGTTTTCTACCGCATGGAGGAGATTGTTTATCTTTATTATACATAAATGAACATCATGTGATGTTGTACCATATAGAGAATGGCTTGGAAGGCACTATGATAGCGAGGCTTGGAGCTCAGTATTAGAGCAAAGCGTTGAGAACGAGGCTAGGGACGCAAATAATGGGAATGAGGCTTGGAACGCAAGCCAAAGAGCTTGAAGGTTGTAGCTTAGCATTAGAATGAGCCGTGGCGAGAGAAGTCAAGATATTGAGATTGAGACTTGGAACACAAACCAGTGGAATTGAATGCTGTAGTTTAGTATTAGAACGAGGCCTGGAACACAAGACGTTGAGATTGAGGCTCGTAACACAAGCCAATGAACTTGAATAATGTAGCTCAGTATTAGAACGAGGCTTGAAACGCAGGCTTCAGGTCTGGGAGCGAGGCTTGGAACTACAGCACAGAAGGAATAAGGAAAGAGAGAGAGAGAGACCCCAAGATCAGAAATAGAACATCAAGGTGGAAGATGTGGACACAGTAGATGAGGTAGATGAATCATTTGTAGCAGGGAATATCTGCACCGACACTACACTGAGATTGTTGTTTGAGGTCCTGCTGGTGGGAGAGCTCTTGAAGATTATGTATTCTGTCTGTCATGTGTGAATCATAGAGGCTGCCATTGCTGAAACCTCGCTTTGAGAATGCTAGTTCCCTGGCTATCATGCAGAATTTGGCTGAGATGCTGACCTGGAATATGTATAGAAATAAGGAGTTGTGATACTTTTCTGACATTCTTGTCCTGGGTCTGTGACTCAACATTATATAAAGGCCAACTGGCTCTTCAGTTTAAATCAAATAAATACATTGCGGGCTCATCAAAGCAAAAGGCGCTCAGTGTCTAGTGTTATTTGTTTATGAAGCAGCTACAGTCTGTATAGACATTTGTTTGTGTTTTGGATAGAGGTGGGAAGAACAGACATTTCTGTCTGAGATCGTATTTTCCTCACTTCCTGTGATGGGGGTGCAGTTGTCACTGGGACAGGAAAGCATGAACAGCATTAAAAGCTTTGTCATTATTCTAACCCTTTCCTAATATACCATTTATTTAAAATTTGTTTTTATCTGTCTCTCTGTTGGAGAGATTTGACATCACTTCCTGTTCTATCAGGAATAATCTCCCCAACAGGAACACATGGCTACTGAAGGTGCATTCATGCCTTTTGCATGCATTGACATGTACATTGGTGTTGAGGTGTGCTGTATTAAGGCAGTCTATTGATTTACATGGGCTCTTGCTGTGCTTTAAAGGAGAACTATGGGGAGAGTAAAATATACCCTTCCCAGTACTTGTCAGCTCTTTAGATTGAGAACTGAGCGATCACAAACTGCTCACAGCTTCTCCCTGCATAGAGCAGTGATTGTCAGTGACTGCTTCCCGCAGGGATTGCCCTTCCCCTCTCTGTTCCTCTAGTGCTCATTGGTGGGACAGACAGGGGAAGGGGCGGGCACATCTGGCTCTAGAGAGGTGAAGCCAGCTGTCAATCAGGTAGAGGGGTGGATCCCGACAATATTGTTGGCATCTTTCCCGGCTGCAGTGTGGCTCTGCACTGACAGCATATATTGGGCATTGGTAAATGTATTCCTGTGACCCAAAGGAGAACTAAAGCCAAAAAAGTGATATATAGTTCTCTTTTAAAGCATGAACAAAGCAACTGCATGTGCCCTATAGTAGTATTATTATTATTATTACTATTCAGGATTTATATAGCGCCAACAGTTTGCGCAGCGCTTTACAATATAAGGAAGACATTACAATCACAATACAAATCAAGACAACATGGTAAGGAGGGCCCTGCCCCTGAGGGCTTACAATCTAAAAGGGTGGGGCAAGTGATACGCGAGGAGGTAGCAGTGTGGGGATGAGGTGTTTGTGTGTGTGTTCCAACCAACTGTATTTTTGCTTTGTGCAGTTATTTGTGTGGCATTACATAATAAAATGTGGGTGTTAGCATGCGTTACCACAATTCTAAGGTAGAAACTGAGCCTAATGTAAACAAATGATTATCTTTTTAGCATACTGTTTCAAATGTTTTATCTGAAGTCTTATTTTTCTCTGTATTTACTGGACACTATTATGCAAGTAATGAAAAGATCTAATGTGCATTGCATAGAGCAGTGGTTCTCAACCTTCCTAGGGCTGGGACCCCTTGGTAACATTTGCCAAGTTGTGGTGACCCCCAACGGTAAAATTTAGGGGTGATTCGGCTGCTGGCAGGAGAACTGACACTGCTGTGCTAGGAGAGGGCTGAGGAGGACTCTCACCTAGCACAGCAGAAATCACAAAGCGACCCACAGGTTGAGAACCACTGGCGTACGCCGTCAGAATAAAAAATAAAAATAAAAAAAAAACACCATAGGAATGCATAGCTAGATTAGTATTGGCTATTTCGCTTTGCAATAGCAAACTAGCTATTGCAACCAATAGGAATCTAGCTATGCATTCCTATGGTGTTTTTTTCTGAGTTACGGCGCCCTGATGTCAGAAAAAAAACAAAAACGATTGCAGGGAAAGGTTTACTCTGCTCGATTAGATAGCGGGAGACTCCCGGGCGACCCCTGGTAAATCGTCATTCGACTCCCCGACAGGGTCGCGACCCACAGGTTGAGAACCGCTGGCATAGAGGTTGTTTTACCATACCTCCATGAATCTTCATTTTTTTTTAATTAAAGGAGAACTATGGGGTAAGTGTTTTTCCACATAGTTCTCTTTAGGGTCACAGGAAGACACAAACTAGCGTCCTCCCCTAACCCAAAGCTCAGTATATAGTGGGCTAATACTGTCGAGATCCACCCAGCTGCGTGAATGACAGCTGGCTCTGCCTATCTAGAGGCAGAGCCAGCTGTGCCCGCCCCCTCGGTGTTCGTTCCTCCACTCAGCACTGGAGGATCGGAGAGGGGGGAATCCCTGCAGGGAGCGGTGACTGTCAGTGTGTGGAGATGATCGGGAAGTGAGCGGATCGGTGCATGTTTCTGCTCACTTCGATAGAGCCGACCTGTGACAGCTTTTTTGTCACAGGTCCGCTCTAACTATGACGATGAGTGAAAAACACAGAAACAGAATATAATACTCAATTTTTTGGTAAAATATGAAAGATGGGGTCAATTCGTGTAAATTGATACCAAACATGTCAAGCCTTAAAATTGCGTTAGCTCGTGAAGCCGCAAAAAACTTCAATACCCAGAATTTGCCATAGGGGACAATTTAAAAGCTATTACTGCTCATCAGTTTGGTGCTAACAGTGATTAATGGCTCTAGAATTATTGCTCTCACTGCGATGCTCGAGGCGATATGTAACATGTGTAGCGCAATTGTCGCTTTTGCACGTAGGTGCACCGATGCATGTTTACGTATGTATGTGCACATTTTTTTTACACTAACCTTATTGCTATCACAGCCCCCTATGTAATAGCAGATAGGGTGTGACAAGTCCTCTTTATAGAGACATCAGGGGTCTTTCAGACTAAGGACCCCAAAGAAGCTGAGGAAGCAAAGATCTGCGTCCCCAGCTTCTTCTCCTGGATATAATAAATATAAAATATATATAAATAGCTGGAGAATGTTCCCAGTGACACCGAAAGTGATGTAATACACATCACTTCCGTGTCCAATGATCGGAGGAGAGATCAGTTGCTGGAAGCCGGCGGCGACGGAGGGGGTGTGGGCAGCACATGCCGGCGATCTGTACAAACGATCCGGCGGCTGTATAGACGCCAGTTCGCTTGTACCTAAACAGCCATCGCCGGCTGTTTTAAAATGACACCAAGAACACGGACAAGAGAAAACCTCAAATGTTAGACCCAGCGGTAAGGTGCATTGGCTATCTGATCCTGGAATTTGTCCAGCCCTGGTCTAGATCCAGATTCCACCTGGAGCTGCCACCAGGATCCTGCGGCTGGTCCTGGGTTTGACACTGTTTCTATTAATAGTAGATACTCTTTATATTCCCCATGTTTCAGATTCATTTTTGGTCTTTTTTTCTTTTCAGCCTCACGTGCCTGAAAAAAATGTGCACTATAGTGGCACGCTGCCTAAACACTGTGACCCGCAATTATGTGCTTGTACGCCATCTTTCTTCCACAGTGGGGAAGAGCAAACCTGGAGAGGAACTCCCAACCTTTCAGTATGTCGGTAAAAGATCCAAAAGGAAGGACCGAGTTTTTGTGTGGGGCTTTTCTTACACAGGAGCTTTGGGCATTCCAAGCTTTGTAGTACCAGACACAGGAAGGAAAAAGCCAAAGCGGTACCAACTAACTCCATATAGGTTGGATATGGATGAAAAGGTAAGATACCTACAGTTGTCTGCACCTAAAGAGACCCTCTCACCAACTTAAAAAGTGCAGGTGAAACCCCCAAAAAAATCAAGTATTTTAAATTCTTACGGTGTTTTTTGTTTTTCTTTTCCATACATTATTTTCTATTTACTTTCAATAAAAACCTTTTAAACTTTCCTAAAAAATTTCCTTGAGTCAATTTCCTAGTACATTCCCAACCCTGATTGACCATCATAGTACTCCCTCTGTCTGTCTATCTCCTTATTACGGTCTGTGTTGACCACACATCTCCCCTCCCCTACATAATCTTATATATAGCTGCTGACAGAAGGGCTGCTCTAGAATATTCCACCTTCTAGAGCAGCCTTTCTTTGACATGGAGGAGCCCTTGAAATAATTTCCAGGTGTTAAGTAACCCCTGTCGATAATGACTATATCTACAACTCACAGTACCTTAGTGTGAACAGTGAGTTGAGATATAAGAATAAATAAAAGAATTAAGAATGTGGCATACTTTGCGTATTTGACACCCAGGGCTTCTCAATACAACAAAGTTATTTTCAGTAATAACAAAATAAAACAAATAATAATGACCAGAAATGCAGACAGAGAAAACCGCAATGCTCCTTCTATTGGTGGTGAGTGGAGAAGGGCTCCCTTAAACTAGTGCTTTGTGTAGTGTCAGCTTACATTGGTGGTCAGTGGGAGAAGGACCCCCTTATATTATTGGTCAATGGGAGAAGAGGTCCTGTACATGGGTAGTCCATAAAAAGAATGTCCTTTACTTTGGTGTTTAGTGGGAAGAATGCTCCTTGCATTGTTGGTCAGTGGGATAAATGACCCATTCACACTAGCCCGTCCGTTAAAGCGAAGTGTTTTAGTGGGTGGGCTAGTGCCTTGTGACAGATCCAGCAATCTGATGTCCCTTTAAGAATCCCCAGTTCTGCCTAAACTGTGTGACCAATACAAGGCCAAATTATGGCATTGTGCTTCTATGAATTTTCTGTCATGTAAAATAAGCTGATGGAAAACCCAGGTGCAAGATAGTGATGCCTTGTTCGAGAGTGACCGTAAGGAACCCTACTGCTGGAAGATCACCCTTTGAACTATCCAACACAGTGGTGGTCAATACAGTACCCAACTGTGTCCCCTGTCATCACCAGGGGGCCATACAAAATGTTTAGCATATGCAATAGCTTAGAAGACTGTCAGAGACTGTAAATATCATTCACAGACTGTAAATGTACTATTGGTGTGGTTGTAGACCAGAGATATGCTGCAGCAGACCATCAAAGACTGAGAACATGTTACTTATTACTGCTAGAGATCACTACCATTACGGCCTTTTTACAAGCCAGAGATTCTGCTCCCACTACTGACTGGTATTTGTTGGGACATTTAGCAAAGTGCTGTAAGTTGAGCACCATGGATCTATGAGTAAGAACAAACAGTAGGCGATTCCACCTATGGAATCTCTCCAAGCGGAAATATCTGTTCTGGATGGCGTTATCTTTGGGCAAAAGGGATGTTTCATTTTAAGGAATAACTGGTTGCTCTGATTTTTGATTATTTATTTATTTTTTATAGATCTCATCTGCATCTTGTGGGTATGGATTTAGCCTATTATCTTCCCGGACAACAGAAGTCACAAAAGTTTGGGGAATGGGACTAAACAAAGATTCTCAGATTGGCTTTCACAGGAGCAGGAGAGATCGAAGTAAGAATATCATCTAAATAAAAAAACAATCCATAATTACACTGCTGCAGTTGCACTTTGGATTGTATGTACTGTATAATAAAGGAGATGAACATTTGCACATGACATTTGCTCCTTAGGGACATGTTAATACCCTGACCTTGAGTGACGTTATAAGTATAGAGATTCTTGAATTTAATCCAGCTACCATACTCCTGACCACCTGCAAGGCAATGGTCCTATTTTAAAAGGTTGATTATGACTGAAGTAAATGTTACTGTGTATTACTGATAACCAGACTAAACGTTCCTCCTTTTCTTGGTTCCAATAATGGTGTGGGTGAGTATCCAAGTTAAAACACATAATGTAGTTTAATTAAAGCAAGATTTCTTAATGTTGGCAATATGTTGTGTAATGGAACAAGTCATTTATAGAAATCTATTGTGCATCCACTCTACTATGTGTATTCCCTGCATTTTATTTGTATCTCTTTTGGTTTGTTTAAAGCAAAGGGTTATGAGTACATCCTGGAACCATCACCAGTCCCCCTACCTTTGGATAGGCCACAGGAAACTCGAGTTTTGCAAGTATCATGTGGTAGGGCACATTCGCTCATCCTAACAGATAATGAAGGAGGTAAGTGGCCATGGACACATTCATTTGTTTTTACTCTGCATTTATAGCTACACAGAAGCAGACTCCCTTTGCTCGGCTTTTACTTCCAGATGTAAACACTCTTAAACGTTAAAATGTAATAGCTGTGCAAAAGCAGGGATGCGAAATTCCTATTGCCCCACATTCGAGACATGCAGTTCAGTGCGCCGGGCAGGTGTTTTTTTTTCCCCCTACATTTAACGTTGCTGTGGGCAAGCAGGACTAAATGTAGAGCAGGGGAGTCGCCTCTAATTTTTTACAAGTGATCTCTCAACGCTTCCTGTCATAAGCCGGGCTGCACAGGAGATCGAGCACAATGCTATGCTCCGTCTCATGTATTGGGGGGCAGGGGAGACAATGTTGCCATAAACGAGAACCTGTCACCTCCAAACGTTATCACATAGGGGCTTGTTTTATCCCCTGTGTGATAGTAATAAAGTTAAGTGAAGAAAAAATTTAAGAGAGCTAGGTACCAGGGAGGTGGGGGCGAGTCGGGTTTAAGGGCGTGCCTTCACTCTACGGCCCTAGAATAGACAGTGTATCCTTATACATTACCTGCCTTCAGCTTGTGCAATCTTCTCTTTATAGTGACAAACCCCAAGTAGAGGAGCAGTGCTGGACTGCGGATACATTTGCTGCTCCGAGCCATGCATCCATATGGCATTCTGTGTGTGTGTATGTGCACTGTGTGCCATATTGTGGTAGCTGGGTAGCAGGGCTCTCTAACACGCACATGTGTATTTTTTTTTTTCAGTTTCTGTTCCTTAATGACTGACGCACTTTTTACATTTTTTTTTTTCTTTTTTACATTTTACTTCCACGGCAGTAATATACTTTCTAAGTGCACCCACACATATTATATATTGTTTTTTAGAGGACCGATAGGGCTATATATTTATATAACATATGTGTACCTAACGCCTTACTTGGGATGAATAAAATTAAAAAAAATAGGAAAAAACCTAAATAAAACACTTTTTTCCCAGTTTTGATTTTTATTCTTTTTTAGAAAAATAGTACAGCTAAAAAAAAGCATTAAAATAAATTCATTTATTTTGTCCTTTATTTGGAAACCCCTCACATCCCTAGGATTGGAGAATTATTTTCTTTGTACTTCTGAGCCTAAAAACAAAAAGCTCACATTTTATTTTTTTTCTCTAAAACCTAATAATTGTTAGGTGGCCTACAATGTCACTGTAACGAAGTGTCAATAACTGTAACACTTAGTGACAGCGACATGCTTTGAGCAACGCCTTCATGAGGGGGTTAAATAGCAAAATTAACCCCTTAGGGTGCCCATACACCTTACAATTATCTGGATATTTTTTGTGCGGTTGCATTTTCGTCAGAAAATCTGCCAGTTGATGGGAAGTGCACAACCTCAATTACTGTACAACTGGCAGATTTGTGTCTTTCAAGCAGGCTAGAAAACGTTTGTCTGATTGGATGAAAATTCACAGGTTAGTGGCGTGGTTGTACAACAAAAATCTCAAGTTGCAAACTGCACATGCTCAAACGAAAGTCTGTCCTTTCAATTGATGAAAAGCAGCCAGGTGGTAGTGCTGACTAGTGTTAATTGTGAACTACATTGGTCTGTGCATGATGGGCTAGTTGTAAGAAAATTGATCCGAGGGTGAGATGGCGTATGACCACCTTTAGGGTGAACAACATATCTGCAGCTCAGCTGCAGATTCTCATTGTAATGGGTTAATTTGTATAATAATTATAGGATAAATGATATTTGTATATATCATTTTTTTTTTGTTAAATTATTTTTATACTTTATGCTTTATTCCCCCCCCACTTTTTTGTCTATTATATTAAGCAGCCACTATGACTGCTTGATAATTATAATTATTTTTCTTAATTTTAATTCTTAAAACAATCAGAAGTCTGACAATGTTTGTTTTTTGTTACAATGATACAAGGTTTAATTTTGCTACATGTTTCTATGCTTCATATATATATATGTAGCAATAAGCCAGTGCACATCGGGATCTGTACAGAGCTGTCAAAACAGAACCCGATCTGTGCAGAGCTGTCAAAGCAGTGATCTGAAAGCTTAAAAGAGAACTATGAGGTGAGTGCTTTTCACTCTCCTCATAGTTCTAGCCGACCTGTGACAATGAGACTGTCACAGGTCGGCTCAGTAGATCGGGAAGTGAGCGAACACATACCGGCGTTCGCTCACTTCTCGATCCTGTCACGGCTCTCTGCCGTGACAGGGGAGGGACTGGATTCCCCCCTCCCCGCTCCGATCCTCCAGCGCTGACTGGTGGAACGGACGGGGCGGGTACAGCTGGCTCTGCCTCTAGATAGGCAGAGCCAGCTGTCACTCACGCAGCTGTGCGGATCCAGACATAATTGTCGGGATCTGCTTCAGCTGCGGCGTCTCGGTATACCGCGAGCTGCAGCTCGCTCTATACTGCGGCTTCTCGGTATACCGCGAGCTGCAGCTCGCGGTATACAGGGCTTAGGGTGACGGGAGGACGCTAGTTTGTGTCCTCCCATTACCCTAAGGAAAAGCCCTAACCCCATAGTTCTCCTTTAATTCTTTCATTGATGAAAGAATTAGGCTTTTACAAAAGCTTTAAAGAGAACTATGGGGTAAGTGTTTTTCCCCATAGTTCTCTTTAGGGTCATGGGAGGGCATATACTAACATCCTCCCGTCACCGAAAGCTCAGTATATTTACTGAGAGCACCGTAGCTAGGACGGATTTCAACAATACTGTCTTAGCGGTTACTGGCTTTTAAAAGCTTCAAATGACTGATCACGTACAGTGTACGTGATCAGTCATTTGGGCACTTCATGATGGGGATGTGCAGTGTACGTCTCCAGTCATGAAGGGCTTAATACCCCTATGTACAATTTTCCTCAATTGTTATGGAATGTATCGGCGTGAATAAAGAGATTGTTAACAAGGTATTTGTACAAGGACAATAAAAGCATAAGAGACAACATTTTGAATTGGTGGTGAGGTTCACCTATGACTATATTTATAGTTACTATCATTGGTAGGGAAAGAACACTGTACCCGGTAGGATAAAATTAATAGTTTTTCTTCTTTTAAAGGAAGGGAGCAGTTATTGAATTGTTAAATTTTGAATGGAGTGTCTGTTCTCATCAATGCTATCAGTAAACTATAAGATCCAATTTAGTTGACCACAAAGCCCTCCCACTCACCTAATCTTTTTACCAGGAAATGTAGCAAGTATGTATGCAAAGCTAAAGGAAGCAAGTAATCACAAAACAACCTTATTCAATATATATAATGGAATTGAACAAAATGAAATAATGTAGTAACCTAAAATATGCGTTGTTGCCTTGAAGTGAATGCCTTCCTTTATCATAGAATAAAAGGTGTGTGTGTGTGTGTGTGTGTGTGTGTGTGTGTAAATTGTAATTAATGCTTTTTTTTTTTTTTAAAGCAGAAGCTATTCGAACTTTCTTAGACTGAATTTCTGCAGTATTTTATTTCAGGGTAGACGTTACAGTTTAATAAACACTTTGAATCATTGAACTGTATAAATTAAAGTGCCAAGATTTGAAATGAAATATCGTTCCAGTTTTCGGCATTGGGAACAATTCATATGGCCAGTGTGGAAGGCGGGTTATTGAAGGAGAGATTTATAGGTAAGAAATATTCAGCAGATGACCTTGTTATGACATGGAGCTCTCTAAGTAAAAGCTAGGAAGGGATTTATGAATGGATGGTCTGCATTTATTTGTCACATCTTTGCTGACTGGTGGAAAGTAGTTTAAGGCAAATGATTTAGATTTTCCTCACTGCATATAGAGGGCTTCAGAAGACGCTGGGTATACAGGCTCACTCCTTAGAGAAATCCCATCCCTAGTTATCTCTGTTACTTTGGCAGTGATTTATTGTCTTTTGGCCTTCTTTCTGCAGCAGAAGACCTGCTATATTCAGCTAGAGCTCTGTGTTGCTTGCAGCACGGCAAGAGCAGAAATTCTAAACTTCCCTTATCACTGCATACACAGGGGTGGAAACATTGTGTGTGTGTGGGGGCATCCAAAGCAACCACAAAAACACAGGAAGGACAAAACTAATGCATTAAAGTGTCCTCAGTGCAAATCAAACCCATGATCTCTAAGCTGCACTGGCTGTGTGCTAACTATGTAGCCACCTTTCTACTTTGTTGTGTTTTTTTTTTTTATCCTGATACATTTTTTGTTGCCATGGTGATCCGCTATTTCAAGCAATTGGAACCCCATAGCTAAACCAGTTCTCCTAAAACTAAGCCTGCAGTAATCACTTGTTCTTTCCACAATTACTACCTGCGACTCATACAGGTTTACTCTACTGAACCTTCTTCGATGGAACCCAGTGATTGTTAGAATGTATAAAATCACTCTCAGAAAGTTAAAATGTAAATTTTTTGGAAATGAAAAATCTTTTTTTATAGGTAGTGGCTCAGTTCAGATTGGCTGATTCTTCCATTTTATTGGCATATTTGTAATAGGGCATACAATAAATGCTACTTCCAAACAATCTTGTTTGCATGTTCTGTTTTGTCTTGTACCAAGTCCTCTGGCCTCGCATCTTCTGAACTCCGTTCACTTAAGTGAAAGCCTATCAATAGTTGGTCAAAGCCTATCAATAGTTGGTCAAGCAACTGATAACCTTTCCCATTGTGAATAGAGTTGGGGACATGAATGTGGTGGTGCAGGACAGAAAGGTTTTGTGGAGTTGTTTGGTGTCAGGCGAGCCACATACCAAAAATCAAGATGGTGCTTGATTAGGGAGAGGGCCCTGAGAAGGAAAAGCGCACAAAAAAGTAAAACATTTTATTACTAAAACAAATTTTCTTGCTTTTGTTTGGATGCAGCCACCTCAAGTGCTACAACTTCTGAAAACTCTTCTTTTTTTTTCTTTTCTTTCTAAGTGAAAGCCAGTTGGTCCACAGGGTAAGACCATTGGAGAACAGAGTTGTTCAGGTAACGATAACAAAATGTATAAATTAATAATTAGACATTTTTTAATTCATCTAGTAAATCACTTTGATTCTAACGTGTGTGTGCGTCCGTCCGTCCATCCACTCTGTGCCTTTACTTGTCTGCTGTTGATTCTTATTACCTTTCTGTTCACAGGTGGCATGTGGTCAAGATCACAGTTTCTTCAGGACCGAGCAAGGAGAGCTGTATGCGTGTGGCTGGGGAGCTGATGGCCAAACAGGTCTGCAGCGGATCTGTTTCTAAATGGACATGCTGATTTATAGGCAATTATGTGCTATACGTTGTCAGCCTTGTTAAATAAGACATTGCTAAATTACAGCTAGATTTCAGATTTTTTTAATAAACATTAGTTGTAGTGGTGTACTGTACACTAAGACCAGGGCGATTCTGTTTTTTCTAATACACTCTCTTGATAATTTGCTACCTATTCAGGGGTGCACATATTCAGGGGTGCATCTGTTGTAAAGCACAGTGAGTGTCTTCTGTAGAGAAGATAGCAGGTAAACATCTCTCACTGCCCCTCCGCTGCTCATGTTAGAGCCAGAAAGTGGTGACTAGTCACTTATTCTCCCACTATTGACTTCTATTAGTGTATGCTGAGAACATTGGAGAAGCAGGGAAAGTATTGTTGGCAAAGAAATGCCTTGGTTGAAGGTGCACTGTTTACAATCTACCAGGCATAACTTTATTATTTAGTTTTGTTTACATGTGGTAACATATATATATATATAAAACACAAAGCCAATAATGTCTAAACCGCTGGCAACAAAAGTGACTACTATATATATATATATATATATACCCTTTTGCATGTATATAAAAAAAAAAAGTCAGATGAGTGCACTTTCAAGTAATAGGTTACTATTGTGTTTTGTTTTCGTAGGCCTTGGTCATTACAATATCTGCAGTGTTCCTACAAAGCTGTCAGGGGATTTGGCTGGAGTGAATGTGGTCCATTTGGCTACTTTTGGAGATTGTTGTCTGGCGATATCAGAAGAAGGTCAAGTGTACGGGTGGGGAAATTCGGAGTACCTACAGCTTGCATCCATCACTGACCTCACACAGGTAGGATTCTTGTTTTGGCACGGTGGTATATTTATAAAAGCTTAGCATTTTGTGGACTATAGGGTTTACAGAACGTAAATGACATATGGTGCACTCGGAACACTTTGAAAATAGCTGTTCTTCATCTTACAACTTTGAGGTATGATGCATTTGTTTTACTATAAAGCTTCAGCAAAACCAGTTCAGCGTGTAGCAATCATTTCTCTTTCTGACATATTTTAGCCACAGTAGCAAAAATAATCCTGTTTGTGTGCACTCTAAACAAAACTTAGTTTCATTTCTTTGACAAACACAGGTCAGTCCATGAGTCAGTATATTAGCAAGTCCCACATTCCAGCTGAGGGTTCTTTATTGCAGAAACAGGAGCAGTGGCTGCACATGTCTTTATTTTATGGTTAATGGGGGCAGTGTGTTGATTGCCTATTAGCAGAAACCCTGCAATGGGTGATAAATAAGGAAGCCTGCTTCACACCAAAAGCCGTAATGTGCAGTCCTTTTAGCAGTCGCAATGGAAATCTTTATAACCTTTTAATATCTGGAGGTATAAGAAAGCGTAATTTCTAATACCATATCCACATTCATACAGTACATCTAGTCAAATCAAGCTTGTTCCATTATAAAGATTTCCTTTGGCATACAGACTGTGATGCCCACAGTGAATGCATGTAAAATGCATTATATAACTTCATGTATGGTGCTAGAGGGATAATCTGGTTCCGTACAAGAACTGTTTTATTGGAATTAAGAGGAATGCACAGTGTAAGATGAATAGACCTTGGAAAATGAGATCCATGGTGTAGTAAAAAATAGCTTAGCAGAAAAGCTGCAAGTCTCACATAAAGTTCTCAACATATTTTTGTTTCTTGCACTGACCCTTATGTAGGTCAATGTTCCTCAGCGCCTACCATTCCAGCACGTTGGGAAGGTGAAGCAGGTGGCGTGTGGTGGGACAAGCTGTGCATTATTAAATGGTGAGTATAAAGTTCCATGTTCATTTTGAAGGGTTATGTTATGTTCTTTTCACACAGGTGACATTTCATTTTATTGCCTTCTCAAACCAAAAATGTCAACTGGAAATGAGTTATCTGTATAAGGTTACCAGTCTATTATAAGCTGTCCATACTTTATATGGGAGTTTTGACTCTTTAGAAAACAATCTGAACAGGTAAAAAAATACTTTGTGTGCGGACATATATACTCTGCCTGCATGCATGTACAGTATTTGTCATGTAAGAAGAGTTACAATTGAGCTGCTTTTTTTGTTACTGTCACCATGGAAGATCAGCTGTATCATAAGGACTGATATATTAAGCTGCAATAGTAAGGCATGCTAAAGGAAAACTTTTAGTCAAAGTTAGCTTAAATTATTTTAGCATACCTGAAGCGCTATTTAGTGCTCATTACATTCCATTGCAGCTTATGACTCAGGGCCTTCTATATCCAACAGTAGTAGAATAGCAGTTGTGTGTTATTGATAAGATGGGCCCTTCTGCATCAGGATGTAGAACTAGGTCTCTAACTATACAGTTAATCAGTCCTTCTTCCTCGTGGTCATGCACTGACCAAGTTGTTACTAGCAACTTTGGTGACAGTAAAGTAGGTGATCCCAATATTGTGGAAGCGAGAACACAACAAATGAGTGTATCTGTCATTAAGAAGAACACCCTGTGTGATTGCGGTCTAAAGGAAGCATCTGGTTCTTAAAGAGGAACTTTACCCATATCTTTAAAATAACAACAAATGCACCTTTTAGAAATGTTTTTAGGAATGACAATCTACAAACACATACCTCTAGATAATTGCCGGCTTTGTATTCTTTGCATACCTCGTTTCTCTTTTTCCCAGTCTTCTGACAGTGGCCATGTAAACTAAGGGAAGCTCTTCATTTACCTCCTGGAACTCTGGCACATGTGACTAGAACATGTGACCGTGCACATCATCTCAGGGGAGGAAAATCCCTTTCCCTGAGATCTTATCATATTGTATCTCAGATTCCCAGAAATGCTCTGCTGATGCAACGCTTGGGCACATTACATAATTTGTGCCAAAGTGGACCAGGAAGTAGAAGAAAGAAATTGTAAGTAAAATAAAAATATGTTTGCTTAGCTAATGAATGTAAGATGCTTTCATATCAGCAGGCAGAGCTGCGTGTTGATTTGATTTTTAGTCAAAGGGGGTAAAGGTCCACTTTAACTCCCGTGCTGCTTATTAAATCAAGAGTCATTGAATAGGTTTAGCTTTTTTGCCCCAGAACTAGTATGAGGCACATTAATTGGGTACTGGCTGCTTCCAACAGTGCCTAATCACAAAGGTGTCTTGTTTTGTGACATATTCTTTTAAACACAGCTTTTCATTAAAGTCTATCTCCATGTTTCTTATTCCTTATTACTTCTGATCAATTCTGGGGCATCTTTGAGTCAGAAATGTCTGTGGCTCGGTTGGACAAAACAGTCTACTAAACTGGCTGCACACACCAAGAGTTTCCTGCATGTACTGTCACATACCGTGTACAGCAGCCCTAGGAGCTTCAGGCCCCGTTCACATTGAGCGATTTATCGCTCATATTTCCGCGCGATATCGCTCTATGTAGCTTCACCAATACATTTCAATGGAGCTGTTCACATCTCGTCGCTCAATATCGCTTGTAGCTCGTCGCTGGTAGCTTGTCGCTCCTACATGACCCTTTTTTAGAGCGATTTTGAGCGATATTGCTCCTGATTGCATACAGCCCAATAGGACGAAGTCACGCGATACGTCGCGCAATATCGCTCAATATCGCTCGTCGCGCAATATCGCTCAAAGTCGCACGATTTTCATGTCGCTCAGTGTGAATGGGGCCTCAGGGCGCAACACACACTCTTGTAAATCTCATGTGGTCAAGCTTGGATCCACCCCTGTTCCCTTTCCACAGCTCACTATTGGTTAGTGAGACAACCCATCATAACCATGAACTGCTAAAGAGGGGTAGGAATGGGTTGGTCCCCAGTTTGACGTTGTACTTGTATAATAGAGCTTTCATGCTTTATTGTCTCCGTAGGGAACTCCTGTATGATATGTGACCTTATAAATAAGCACCTCTAGGTGTCTGCTTTCCTTGTCTTCTGCCTGTTTAGTAACCTTATGCTTTTACTAAAGTGTGTGCTTTGAAAGTGAGATTTTAATAGCCTGGTTAATAATATCTCCAAATGTTTGCACAAAGAGAAAATGCCTAATAATTAGGTAATTTTAAGACCATAGTTTGTTTGTGGTAACTGATGGTGTTAAACATATTTCATATATATCGGTTCCTCTTTTAGATGATGGCAATGTTTTTGTTTGGGGTTATGGAATACTGGGGAAAGGGCCAACATTTCTGGAGTCTGCTGTCCCTGAGATGATTCCTCCAACACTATTTGGTCAGAATGACTTCAACAAAAACATCAGGGTCATGAAGATCTTTTCAGGACTCGGCCACTTTGCTGCTCTAACAAGTAAGTGCTACCAAGATGGGTTTGTAAGAGTCAGCCTTCCAGACCGTAGGCACTGAATATATCCATGGACCCATAATGAAGGCTTAAAGCCGAATTTCTTTTCAATCTGTGCCCCCTCCCCACTCGGCAAGCAAGGTGTTAAATACCTGTTTAGCCTACGGAAGGTTTAAGGTTGAACAATACACTCCTCACTCTTTGCTGCGGTGGGGGTCCTTCCAACCATACAACCGGGAAGCCACACCTTTTCACTGGGTTTGCTGGTCTCTTGGACGTCAAGGGCCCACCAACATAAACCTCCATACATACATACACCTCTAACCCCCCCACCCCCCGCCAAAAAAAACAGATTACTCCCCTTGAAGTTTGTTTCCACTTTTGCAGTCAATTTAAATTCAAATTTGTAATTTAAAAAAAAAAAATGTTTTACATTTTTAGATGGCTCTCTCAGTAGCCTTTGGAACGAGAGAAGCAAGAGCAAGACCCCTCTTTTATTAACATGCAATGCTTCTATATCTTTAACCCATTGTTAGGACAGTGTTCAAATCAAGTTCACAACTGATGATGAGATCTGCCAGCACAGTACAGACGGGGTTAATTATCACAAACATTAGCCTCCCCACCCCCCTTGCTTTCCAGAGAAAAATTCAGTACGTAGAACAAGTTTTCCTCCAGAATTGATCATGTTTTTCAAGCAGCGGTTTAGGTTATGCAATGTGAATGAGAAACATAACAAATATAAAATAGGTTTCATCCCAATTTGGGTGCAAAAGCAGAAATAGACTTTTAATTCTCTGTGCTTTGTTTACACCTGACCTGTCTTCTGTGCTTTTGACTGCTCCTTCGCACCAGCTAAAGCTAGGGTTTTAGAAGACCATCTTGCAAGCGTCTCTTGCTGCTTTCTTTTGGATGATAAATACAAATCATTTCTAAACATTGTTTGGACAATACTAACTCATCAATAGACAGTATGTAGGATTCTTGGTCAGTGATGTAAGCTAGTGAAATAATCAGGGTTATTCCCTGTGGGGTGAAGAGTTTGGAGAAGGCAGGAGAAGTGAACAATCTAGGACAACATAGCTGATTTGGAAGAATTCTCCAATACAGCTCACTTTCCAGTTCAGCTATGTTGGCCTAGATTGTTCACTTCTCCTGCCTTCTCCAAACTCTTCACCCTTCTGTGAGTAGCCCTGAAATTGTTATTCTTTAAATCTAGTAACATAAGAATAGTGACTGTTCACTTGATTCCTAGTAAGTTTAGTGCTTTCGTCAGATACCATTCAGTTTTATTTTCAATGTATCTACAGATGTCGGAGATGTCTATGTCTGGGGTAAAAATTTGAGAGGTTGCTTAGGAACAGGAAGATTGGAAGATCAGTATTTTCCATGGCGGGTAAGGTAACATTATAGATCGCTTTGTGAATGTATATATCCATAAAATCTGAACACATGTATAGGGCAACATAGAATATTTTTTTTTCTGATCATTGATTTCTTTTTGACATTTCTTTTTTTTAATCATTTTTGGGTCTTTGCGTTCCATAAAAATAATAGGCAAATGTTGTAGGGTAAAAAGTAATAATCTTTGAAATGCCTAATTACAACTTTATAGATTAATATTTTCTACTAACGCTGAGGGAGTGATTGTCCAGCACCACATAGGTGGCAAGTAGTGCTTTTCATTACCATTTCATGATCTACCATTTAAAAAAGTGTGAATTACTGTCATCATTAATATAACTATTGGGCCTTTTGTTTGGAAGCACTGTTTGCAGGGGTAAATATTTGATAGCAAATGTCTGATTGCAGAGCGTGTTTAGGTTGGCCTTAAATCAACAGATATCTCCTATAGCATGTCAGGCGGGGAAATATTTGTCCGTCTTCTCATTACGCTCATGAGCATCAGGACTCTGCAGTCCTCATTAACATGTATGCATGGGCAAATTTTTTTAAAATGTATATCTTTGCAATACATGCTTCCTCCTGCACGCTTCCTCCTGTTTTACTGCTATAAAAACACTGCTTGTACAGACAAATACCATTTGGTTAGCTACTTATCCAGTGTGCTACTATACTTTTGCTTTAACTGAAATCCAAGGCAGTGTTGTCAGCCCTACCTGAGTTCCCGCCTGCTGGACTACAGAACGCCTCTCCCTTATGTTCTGGAGATGGGGGAGAGTCCGTAGTCCAGCAGGGGAGAACTCAGGCAGGTGTGATAACACTGCTTGGGATTACAGTGCAGCAGAAGTAACGTGGAAGTCTGAAGTTTCCTGCACGTCTGGCTGGATCAACGTGTATTCTGTATTTGCAGTGTTTTTATTTCTCTCAGACACCATTTCTCGTACTAACAATGGTGCATACATTGGCACCACATTACACAAATAGTGTATTCACCTTTTTTGATGCATTAGGCAACACATTTATCTGAATGGTTTGTGTTAACAGAATGTGTTAACACGTGTCATAATGCACATTAACATGCATATGTTAACATACTGCAACATTGTGACTGGAGCCTAAAGAAGTGCAGCAAGCAACAATAATATTTAAAGTTCAACAATTGGAATGTCTTTTTACAATAGCTAGATGTTGAATCTGATTGCTATGCTTTACTGCACTCTGTACATTCTTAGTGCTCTTTGCACTGCTTTGAATATGACTGCGGCTGCTGACAGTAATCCCTCTTAATTTAAGAGACCCATGGTATAAAGTTTTTGCCTAGTTACACAGAGGTAAGGTGGCCGTAGGATTCCTTCACTGTTTTGTAAGCACTCCCTAGGGGCAAATGATGATGTGCTTACCTGAAATGGTTTTATTGTACAATCCACCCGCAGGGTCTGTTGAGCAAGCGTATATTGATGGAAATCTACCCTTTCAATTGTCTTTTTACACAACCATGAAAAAAGATTGGCTTACCTTAAATATTCTTCTCAATTCTTGAAAACCTTCTTCTGTAATCATCATTACTTATGTAGAATCTTCTTTCTGCTTTGCAGTTGCACACAATGGTTGTGCTATGTTCCTCTTTCTCACAATGCTGTCCTATGAGTCTGAGTCAGACGATCCTTTGAAAACTATGCACTCCCTCTGTGGGTGAAATCGTAAAGCGAACCTTGCACCTAAAAATATCTAAGCTCGATCTAGTGACCGCACAGCATCCCAAACAAAATCACTGAGTAAAAAATAGAAAAACTAAAGGGAACTTACCTACCCTAATCCTCCAGCCCACTCATTTAAAGGAGAACTATGAGGTGAGTGCTTTTCACTCACCTCCTAGTTCTAGCCGACCTGTGACAATGAGACTGTCACAGGTCGGCTCAGTAGATCGGGAGGTGAGCGAACATATACCGGCGTTCGCTCACCTCTCGATCCTGTCACGGCTCTCTGCTGACTGGCGGAACGGACGGGGAAGGGGGCGTGTACAGCTGGCTCTGTCTCTAGATAGGCAGAGCCAGCTGTCAGTCACGCAGCTGGGCGGATCCTGGCATAATTGTCGGGATCCGCTGCAGCTGCGACGTCTTAGTATACCGGGAGGTTAGGGTGAAAACTAGCGTCCTCCCGTTACCCTAAGGAGAACTATGGGGAAAAGCCTTAACCCCATAGTTTTCCTTTAAGCGCCAGTAATGTTGTTAAAGTTTATTGCATCTTGGGAAAGCTGAGGTCTCAAATCTCACAAGAATCCCCTCCTGTACAATGCAGTGCACAGAGTAGGAGGGCATTCTCTGAATTATCAAGGTTTCTCCTCATTTGTGTATTTCCACCCTCTTTTTATTATTTGCTCTTCCATACACAGCCCTTTTTAGTATGCATTCTGCAAATGCTGAGTTTATATTTAGATACTGATGATTATTATTCAGGGCCTATTCACAATTGTCTGTTTTCATGCATTTTGCTACACGAAGATGCATTACAAGTAGAAGTGCCATTATTTCCCATGGCTGGTTTACATCTATGCACTGCAATTTAGTGGAAAGGGAAAGGTAAACGATGTGGGCCCATTCACACCTTGGGAGGAGTCAAATGTATGGGCCCATTCACACCTAGGGAAAGGTAAACCACATGGGCCCATTTACACCTAGGGAAAGGTAAACCATATGGGCCCATTCACACCTAGGGAAAGGTAAACCATATGGGCCCATTCACACCTAGGGAAAGGTAAACCATATGGGCCCATATGCTCTTTGCACTGCTTTGAATATGACTGCGGCTGCTGACAGTAATCCCTCTTAATTTAAGAGACCCATGGTATAAAGTTTTTGCCTAGTTACACAGAGGTAAGGTGGCCGTAGGATTCCTTCACTGTTTTGTAAGCACTCCCTAGGGGCAAATGATGATGTGCTTACCTGAAATGGTTTTATTGTACAATCCACCCGCAGGGTCTGTTGAGCAAGCGTATATTGATGGAAATCTACCCTTTCAATTGTCTTTTTACACAACCATGAAAAAAGATTGGCTTACCTTAAATATTCTTCTCAATTCTTGAAAACCTTCTTCTGTAATCATCATTACTTATGTAGAATCTTCTTTCTGCTTTGCAGTTGCACACAATGGTTGTGCTATGTTCCTCTTTCTCACAATGCTGTCCTATGAGTCTGAGTCAGACGATCCTTTGAAAACTATGCACTCCCTCTGTGGGTGAAATCGTAAAGCGAACCTTGCACCTAAAAATATCTAAGCTCGATCTAGTGACCGCACAGCATCCCAAACAAAATCACTGAGTAAAAAATAGAAAAACTAAAGGGAACTTACCTACCCTAATCCTCCAGCCCACTCATTTAAAGGAGAACTATGAGGTGAGTGCTTTTCACTCACCTCCTAGTTCTAGCCGACCTGTGACAATGAGACTGTCACAGGTCGGCTCAGTAGATCGGGAGGTGAGCGAACATATACCGGCGTTCGCTCACCTCTCGATCCTGTCACGGCTCTCTGCTGACTGGCGGAACGGACGGGGAAGGGGGCGTGTACAGCTGGCTCTGTCTCTAGATAGGCAGAGCCAGCTGTCAGTCACGCAGCTGGGCGGATCCTGGCATAATTGTCGGGATCCGCTGCAGCTGCGACGTCTTAGTATACCGGGAGGTTAGGGTGAAAACTAGCGTCCTCCCGTTACCCTAAGGAGAACTATGGGGAAAAGCCTTAACCCCATAGTTTTCCTTTAAGCGCCAGTAATGTTGTTAAAGTTTATTGCATCTTGGGAAAGCTGAGGTCTCAAATCTCACAAGAATCCCCTCCTGTACAATGCAGTGCACAGAGTAGGAGGGCATTCTCTGAATTATCAAGGTTTCTCCTCATTTGTGTATTTCCACCCTCTTTTTATTATTTGCTCTTCCATACACAGCCCTTTTTAGTATGCATTCTGCAAATGCTGAGTTTATATTTAGATACTGATGATTATTATTCAGGGCCTATTCACAATTGTCTGTTTTCATGCATTTTGCTACACGAAGATGCATTACAAGTAGAAGTGCCATTATTTCCCATGGCTGGTTTACATCTATGCACTGCAATTTAGTGGAAAGGGAAAGGTAAACGATGTGGGCCCATTCACACCTTGGGAGGAGTCAAATGTATGGGCCCATTCACACCTAGGGAAAGGTAAACCACATGGGCCCATTTACACCTAGGGAAAGGTAAACCATATGGGCCCATTCACACCTAGGGAAAGGTAAACCATATGGGCCCATTCACACCTAGGGAAAGGTAAACCATATGGGCCCATTCACACTTAGAGAAAGGTAAACTCTATGGGCCCATTGACACCTATGCATGCACATGCAACAGTATGAATCCAGCCTTAATCTTTTCTTTTCATTTGACAAATTCCGAATGGAACCTGCTGATTAGTACTGTTTTATAGCTTTGTTTGTTTCTTTATAGGTAACTGTTCCTGGAGAAGTGGTGGACGTTGCCTGTGGTGTAGACCACATGATAGCACTTGTGAAATCTATTGCCTGAAAGTGGGAAGAAAAAAATTTTACAGGACAGTCTGTTGTATATTGTTACACATGAGAAAAACAAAGAGGAGCTCAACCCCAGCCCCTAAGCCATGCCTTCTCATATGACAAAGCTGTGTGTGTCTAACTGTATCATTACCTCACAATGCAACTCGAGCTTTTTATAAATAAACATAACATTTTGTTAGAAGTGTGTTTTAGATCTTTAGAAAGTCATTTCCAAATATGTATACTCGGCATGCTTACAGTCCACCACCTGCCTTCTTCACCCTCATTCCTTTTTTATTAAAAGGACACATATCACTCTTCCAAAGATCTTCTGCCTGATCCTGCAACTTCACAGGTACTCCTCCACCAACGCTCCCTGACTGCTGCACTGAACGACACTCCTGTACAGTAATGACATGTGAACACCATGTAGTACAGAAGTCCTGTTAGACAAGTCCAGTGTGATGACCCATCCCCAGAGAGTGTACCCATTACAGCCTGGGCTGACAGGAAGTGGGTCAAACGATGCTGGTAGTCATTCAACCCAGAAGTCACTCAAAGCATGAATCAAATATGGAGTGCCAGAGCAAAGTCGTACAGGAGTCCAAAATAGCTTTTATGATTCATAAAACAGCCAACGTGTTTCAGGGACCAGGACTACTTCTCTTCTGACTGGAATACATTTTTTCATATTTCTTTTGCAGCCCTGATGGAGAGTCATCTGGCATGGGAGGAGGGGACTTTCTGCAGCACTAGTGAGTACTGTAATGTTACTATTTATACAACAGCTAGGTTGTTTTAACTAACTTCCATAACCCAGTATCACTGCTCCTTCACAGCACCACTAGAGAGAACAGCAGGTGCACACCAACCGAGCCCCTCTTGCTTCAACATCCATAGTCACGGACACTGTACACTGCAAACTTTGATAAAAATGTTATTGTAGCATAAAGGGACACATTGTCCTGCCATGGATCCTCTTCACTCTAACATCTTTCACCCAATAATGAGCTTAGTCTTAGATATGGTTATTTTTTTACTTTAGAGTTCTACTTTAATTGCCATATAAGTTGAACTGGAAACCCCAGCAGATTCCAATGCCAGCTGTTCTCTCGACATGTCCCACTGGTGCTGTTCTCCCACAAAACCCACAGCATTCATCAAAAGCCATATAGGCTAATACATTTTTACCTTCCCAGCATTGTTTTTTTTTTTTACAGCAGTATTTTCTGTACATGATGAATGCACAACCACGCCCCCTCCCGCCCCAGAATGCAGGGAGGCTTACAGTATGCGATCCAGTATGTTCCAGCAGCTAACCATGTTGGAACACACTGGAATTGGTGTGAACAAGCCCTTAAACTACTAAATATTCCCCACTCTCCTAATCCCCACAACAAAATTGTTCTGTAGTCATGATAAGAACTAGAAGGACTCCTTTTAATGACTCGGAAAGTGTGCATAAGATGCAGGAAAGCTTTGCAGTTCTTACACAATCAAGTAATTTTTGCATTTAAATATACAATTGAAAGAATTTTGCAATATGTTTTTTATAACAGACCAAAAGGGGCTAAATATGACAAATTTGTTGTTGGGGTTTACATAGATGTTAGCCAATCTAATCCAGACTTGCTGTGGCAAAGATATCAACCTGTCCTAACTGCCGCCCCACTGAGATCCCCACAGACAGCCCTGGCTTAGATAATGCTTGACTGTGACACTTGCATGATAAGCATTTACCGTAGTTACCGTTTCTCCACACATAGACAACTGATGTGTGAAGTTCTGGTTGGAATGGTGATGTTTTTTAGACCATGTATTGCTGGGATTTCATTAAATGAAAGCTCCCATAGGACCTTAGTAGAGATGTCTGTTATACTGTATTTGCATGCCTGGAGTCATTTCTCTTGTTGTGACAGGGCTCATGTGACTATGTTCTGTAGCTGTGGCACTCACCCCTGCCCAGTTCTTAATATTCCTGTGGAGAATTCAGTGGAGTCAGGTGACAAGTGTAGTGTGCTTTTCAGATGATGCCATTCCCCACAACAAAACCAGGACATCTCGTATGTCAAGTTCTTGTAAGGGACCTGTAAGAGTACAAAATAGTAGATAATTCATATAATCTACATGGAAAATAGTGGGAAGTTGGTTCTCTGTTCTTGATTTTGTTACTTATATACAGTACAGGTGAAACTCGAATAATTAGAATATCGTGCAAAGTTCATTTATTTCACTAATGCAACTTAAAAGGTGAAACTAATATATGAGATAGACTCATTACATGCAAAGCAAGATAATTCAAGCCGTGATTTGTCATAATTGTGATGATTATGGCTTACAGCTCATGAAAACCCCAAGAACCCCAAATCCACAACCTCAAAAAAGTAGATCATTACATGCAATCAATAAAACAAGGATTGTACATACAACAATATCGGACCTCTGAAAAGTACAAGCATGCATATGTACTCAGTACTTGGTTTGGGCCCCTTTTGCAGCAATTACTGCAATTACTGTTGCACGATATTCTAATTATTCGAGTTTCACCTGTACGGTCACATAGAGCAGTATTTATAAAACATTCACAGAGCTGTTCGTTGTAGTTTTAGATTTACACCATGTTATGGCCACTAGATGGAGCTGTGCTGAATGGCAATTTCCTATGGTCCATGGCTCCATCAAGTGTCCATAATCCAGAGTGACTAGGATTGTCGGGTTCCGGTCCGAGGTGGCTCCATGTCGGGTTCCGATCCGAAGGACGTACGGTGTTCCAGTCCAAGCCGCGGTGCGGAGACGCACACGGAGGAGACATCCCGGCAGCATCGATAGGCCGCGCAGGCGCAGACACCCTGTAACCCGGCAGGATCCGCCCTGCACGGCGTGACGTCTTTGCACTGGCGTGCGCGGGTGTCGTTATCACGGCGGCGCACGCGCAGTATACGCCCTCAGCCTATTTAAAGCCCCACAGGACTGAGAATCATTGCTGTGTGATTATCAGCCAGCACCAGTCGTCTGTTGATCCTGCTCCTGTGTAACCTTGTGAATCGGCTTCCTCCCTGACGTTCCCTCTGGATAACCCTTCTGTACCTTGTTGCCTACATCCTACTGACCCCGGCTTGCCTCTCGACTCTCCATTGGATCCTGCATTGTACCCTGTCGCCCGCCTGTTACCGACCCGGCTTGTCTGACTTCTCTATTGATCTGCCGATACCTGGTATCCTGATCCGGCACCCGTGCACCCCCTGCCTGACACACACTGTTTTCAGCCCCAGTGCTCATCAGACAGGGTTGCAAGGGAGGTCCTCCTCATCATCTCGGGCCAACACCGTGAACCTAACAAGGATGTTGGCACAGTGAACATTTTATAAACATACCCCTTTTATGTGTAAAAAGTGTGAAGTGTTGGGGTTTCCAACAGCAAACAATTTAGGTTCCGCTTGCAGTTTTGATTGGAAAGTAGAGCTGCTTTTGCACTCCATTAAAGCTTCCCACCCTCAGCCTGAGATGGCCTAAAACTGTACTTGTTAAACAAGTTGGAATATGATGCAAAGTATCTCCATGTTTTACCAGTGCATGAAAACAGCGTTTTATTTGTGAGTGCTATAAATCACTTGCAGGAAGCAATTTGTTTAGGGGTGGAGTAGCCCTTAGTGTGTTTTGTTTCCCCCAATGTGTATGAAGTGCACAGTGGCTCAGTGGTTAGCACTTACTTGCAGCACTGGGGGTTCCCGGTTCATATCCGGATCAAAACACAATCTGCAAGGAGTTTGCATGTTTTCCCTGTGCTTGTGTGCTCCCACACTCCAAATACATGCTGGCAGGTTAATTGGCTCCTCTCTAAGTTGGCCCTCTATGTATGCATGTAAGATAGGGACCTTTAGATTGTAAGCTCCTTGAGGGCAGGGACTGATGTGAATGTGTGCTATGTAAAGTGCTGTGTAAGTTGTCAGCGCTATATAAATACCTTAATAAATAAAGGTAGATAACATCCAGATAACTTTGTCCTAATAGAATGGCAGTGAGCTCTGTGGTTGGCAAGCGTGTTCTGAGGTGATTAGTGGTACTGCGCCTGTACACGTTTCTAGCTGCTGTAAGTCATGGCCTCTGGAGATGGGAACAAGTAAGATAGCTGGACAAGCTGACATTTTCTATCCGGCATGTGTGTGAATAGGTGAGAATAACAGTTGTTACCTGGGGAGATGATGGCAAATTGATCTTATTTGTAGGAAGTCAGTTTGCTGTTGGGAATGCGATTTAGGTATTGAATTGGGAAAGAAATTGACCAGCAGATGACACCCACCAGCTACAGCCTACTGATTCAACGAGACTTCATTTTATCTAACAAAACAAGAAGCAAAATGCATTACCCTGTATTATCCAAAGACATCATAAATATGAAACGGAGTAGCACCCCACAAAAGTGACGTATGTGCATTGCTACTCTGCTTCAATTCAAGCTAAGATAGCACTGTAAGACAAGGGTGGGTAACTACAAGTCCCATGAGGCATTGCAAGACTGACAGCCACAGACATGACTCCCAGAGGCTGATTTATGATAGGATTTGTAGTTAAAGCACAGATGGAGGCCCTGAGTTGCCCACCCCTGGTGTAAGAGAAGGTGCCACATCTAAGGGGCTATTTTTCATTACAATCCATGTACCTCTGAACTAAAATGACAGCAATTTTTGACATTTTTTTGCTTGTTTCATGAATGAGTGGCTGTGTACCTGCAGTGCATACAGTATTCTACAAGGTCTGCATATCCTTCAGGTTTTTATGACATTTTTGCTTTGCATATGGAATGAGAGCATCTTCTATTTGGTCAACAGAAGGAATAATGGATCAGCTCCCAAAGTTTCTTTTTTTCCTTTGTTACAATATGAGTCCTCCCCTCTTCCCCCGTAGACTATGGCATGGTGTAACACAGGGGTGGGCAAACTCCGGCCCTTCACCTGTTGTGGAACTTCAAATCCCATGAGGCATTGCAAGTTTCTCACTGCCACAGGCATGACTTCCAGAGACAGATTCATGATGGAATTTGTAGTTTGACCACAGCTGGAGGGCTGGAGTTTGCCCACCTCTGGTGTAACAGCTTAAAG